CAATCTTGATGAGCTCGTTTACATATAGCAGTCTTAAAAGCACAGTAAAAAAACTGCCTGTTAAATTCTAAAGGACGAAGAGAGATTCCATGTAAGCATGAAATCGGACTGTTTTAGTAGACCTGAGAGAGAACAGAGAGAAAGGGCTAAAATACAAGGAACTGTGGTCCATACAAGCCCTGGATAAGTTGCTGAAGTCTTACATTGTGGAAGTCTCTGAAGAGCGGGTTCAATATCTGTTCCAGCTCGAGACGTAACAGCAACAAAGGCAATGATGATGTCGCTCTCCTCCTCTGAAACCACTTCACGGAGATGAAGACGCGATTTAAGCCAGTCCGTAAAGTTTATGTGGGAATAAAGAGCATCCCCAAACACCATCATGTAGAATTTCATCACATGTGATCCTGGGAACACAAGCACACAGTCTAAAAAGCACCAGAGATTAATTGTTGTTATTATTGTCACCAAAAACATCACTTCAAATTGTCCAGTAATTTAATATTTTTTTAAGTATGTGCTGAATATCATACATTATATGAAGCAAAGTACCTTAAAATGTTCTTAAAGTGCCCATATATTGTGTTTATGGTGGCCCTGTTAATTAAATCACCTCTGCTGTCAGCCAGTTTGGTCAGCTATATGTATCTTCATATATTCATATATATTCTTTGGCTACATTTTCTTTGGCTACATCTCAAAACTGAAGTTAAACTGATCTGTAACAGACTATGTAAAAAATATCCACAAACCTTCAGACATTTTGTCGGATTTGGATCCTGCAGGCTCCAGCAGGCGCTGTTCGCCTTCTCTCATGTTTTCATAGTCATAGCCATGAGTTTGCTTATGAAATCACACATGCATTTGATTAAAGAAACTGAAAGACCCGTTTGGAACTAGAAGGATGAAGTGCCACAGGGGGCACTTGAGCCCCTGACCTTTTATCTTCTCACTGTGCCTTCTAGGTCAGTGTGTGTAGTAATTGTCTTTTATATGGCCATTCTTCATGATCAGAATGAGTGAGAATGTGCTGGACATGGTTCAACCTTTTTGAAATAGGTTCTATATCCTTTTTGGTTCTGTATAGAACAATTTTCAAAAAGGTTTTTTTTTATAAAACCCAATACAACACATTCTCCATCAATCTCCATCTGAAGAGTGTTCGTGGTATATATATATATGTAGTATATGTATCTTATGGGGATCTTCATGAAGGCTTCATTAGTCTGGGAGTCATGAGAAACCCAAGGCAGAAGTTGGCTTCACATTCACCTGCTTCTTTTTCAAATTTTCCATCCCACCTTAAATGGTACACCACCTTAAATGTGCTAGAGTGTACCTGCTGCACTGAAGCCTCGTTTGATAAACTGAGCGTGGTGACTGGAAGACTTCATAACCAGGGAAGCATGGAGGCCCGTCATGCAGATTTCAGTGGATGCATCGGATGTGGATATACTGCTCTGCCATCACTGCACTTACTTATATTGTGGAGAGCTGTAGAATTAAGCTAGCCATGGTTAATACAAGCTAACGTTACATTCTCAAACAAGGGGTCCATCTACTGTTTATACCAGCTGGCTAACACGATCCAGCTCACTGTGTTACACACAAACCAGGGATATTTTGTAATATTAATTGTATTAATAATATTAGTTGTAGTAAACCAACTTTTTTGCTGTGTGAATTTGCAAGAGCACGTTAGCTAACTGGTAGCATTTGGCTAACAGTAGCAGTAGCTCGGTATGTCTGTCACACAGCATGACTGCCACACTACACACAGCATCCTCCTTTAGTTTCACAAGCATGTGTGAGTGTCAGTGTAATTGCTGCTTATAATAGATCCATAATAAGACATTTATTAGAGACTCCCTAGTAATTCAGAGGAAATTTGAACCAGTTCAGACATGATACAGCAGCACAGCCACTATACGACTAGGTGATGGTGTGATTTACAAATGTCTATGTTTCCCAGTACATACAGCTTTAGTAACAGATAAGGTGGAACACAGCAAAATATCCACATCTAATGCTTAGTCAGAATCTAGCCTTTGATGCTGGATTGAATTCATTCCTGCATCTGTATTCTACTGTCAGTTAACACACACAATGATTCTTGACTCATTCATTAAAGCAGAAAAACCTGACAGACATTTAATTGCAATGCTTGACAGTTAACAAAAAAAATGCTCCACCACTTTCACTCAGTCAGCCACCTTTGGCTTATGGGCCACTCAAAATACTGGCCATCAGTTCATCAAGTGTGTTTCTGATCTAAGTGTAGACTCCTGGAAAAAAACTTCAACAACATAAATAGCTTTTAAAAATTGTTTATTTTCCATATATTTTTAAGAACTGCACGACACATTTCAGTATGAATATGAGAAATATCACTGATTGGAAAGGAGTAAATACATAATCAAAAGCTATTATAAGATACTTAGATAAGATTATACAGTTTATTCAGTAATTTACATTTTGTTTCAGATTTAGTTTTCACTGTGATGATCTTTAATGTGCATTACAAACAGGGGATGTTGAAAAAAACGAAAGCAATGATAAACGACCAGAGAAGAGAGGAGATCAGGAAATGTTATACAGCAACAATACGCTGAGTACAGCACTGTAAAAAAAAGTTTTCCATAACATTTTAATGCTATACTGTAGTGACATAAAAGGAAATCTCAAACAACAGTAAGGCCTGAAACATACTTTACGACAGTGCTCGGCCAGTGCACTGCAAACGCTTGGCCGGCACACTGCAAACACTCGGTCCTTCTATACAAACTCACCACGCATTCTTACGTTGCTGTGGAGGTTAAAACACTCTGTACTGAAGGGGGCGATAGAGTACAAATCAGAGAGGATCTACTGTTATTCCAGCAGCCTCGGCAGCTAAACGTGGACAGTAGAGGCGAGTGAGCAGCTTTACCTTCTGCTGGAATGGAAAAGCGATAATCAATCATATTTTTATGCCGTCTTTCCATGAGACTCAACTGCTCGTCTGCTGTGGCAGTTGAGAAACACACTGGAGGTACAAAACCGCTTGGTCAGGCTTGGCTGTTGTTTTAGCGCCCCCTTGCTGTAACACTGAGAATGCAGCTCGCGCTTGTGTCACATTATGTGTCGTGACTCATTTTGAACGTCCTTGTGTGAAGTACGTTTCGGCCTAAATATTATGACAGAAATTATATTTCACTTTCTTTGAGTACCAGTTAATACATTGAGGTGAATTGTCAGGCACTCTTTTGGGTTTCAGATAATCAGTAACTTCTTTCAGTGCCAGGGCCTCCAGAACCACGGTGGTGAGCGGGCATTTGACCCACCACTTTTCACAGTGCTGTGGCGACGCCCCACCACTTTTTGAGCTCAGGACGCGACATAAAAACCTCTGCTTTCCCTAAACAGCATGAAGCGCTGACCAGAACAAACAGGCAGAGTAAAACTCAGAGCAAATCAGAATCTCCTATTCAGCTGGGAGCCGCTTTTAGACCCGCCTTGGTTGGTGGGAACCTGTCAGACTTTTTCTTTAGTTCATTCATTACATGCGACTCCACCCGAATTGAGGCAGCACCGAACAGCTGAACCGCATTGAGTCACGAGGGAATTCAACACCAGAGCTGCACATTTTCTCTGTACTGTCTGCCCAACCTGCTGCTTTAACATGTGACTCTTTACAAACACTCATATCATTCCTGCACCACGAGCTGCTGTGAATAACAAGGGACAAACAATAAAACGATGATATGCATTTGATTTTGAATTAATCAAACCTGACTGTTCATGATCAGGTCAGAGGCGGGTAAAGTAGCCTAAATCAGTACTCAGGTAAAAGTACCTTCCCCAAAACAACCTGAGTAGAAATACAAAAGTAGTACTGGGCACCACAGTGGAACGTCTTAATAACTGCATGCTCTTTTTGGGATTCTTTTGGTTTAAAATACAGAAGCTCCACAGTCAGAGATGTAACCAATCACAAAGCAGTACAGATACAGTCACCATCAAAACAAACTGAAATGAAACACAAACTGTGGAAGTAGTATCTAGATATGAATGGCTAAAATGTAACAGAGTAAAAAGATTCCTTTACTTACTAATATACTTCTACTATATAATATCTTTAGTAGAAGTAAAAGTATTATGATTTGAAAATACTCAGGAGAGTAAAAACCCATCAATATTTTACTGAAGTACACATACTTGAGTCAGTGTAACTAGTTACAACCCACTTCTGAGTAGGTTTATAAAGATGTCATTAGCATGACATGAAAGGCAGTTTTAGTCAGTGGCCTAATTGCACAGTGTCACTCAGCCAGCCACTTTTTGTTGAAACAATGTGTTTTGCCCCACCACTTTTCGGAGGTGGTGCCACCCCTGTTCAGTGCCCGGTTGTTGTGCAGACATCTTAGCAGACCTTGGTCTTAGTGGAACGGGCAGTCCACAGCGAACACATCATTCCTGTTGTCCTTATTCAGGAACACATTCTGACATGACTGTATTGTAATGTATGTTAGAAATGCTGCTGCACTACTTGCTGTTATTGCTGTATAATTAGACCTACTTTTGTCACTAAAAATTCAATTGCAGTTTAAAATTTCCAATCTCACTTGGTTTCTTGTTATTCTCTGTGCTCTGCTGGTGATGTGTGGTTGTACAACCCCGTTTCCAAAACAGTTGGGACAATGTTCAAAATGTAAATAAAACAGAATCTAATAAAATGCCAACCATTTAAAGCCTATATTTAATTGAAAATAGTACAAAGACAACTTAACATATGTTGAAACTGAGACATGTTTTTGTTTTTTTAAAATATATGCTCAATATCAATTTTATGCCAACAACACATTCCAAAAAAGTTGGGACGGGGCATGTTTACCACCGCATAGACAGTAAATACAGAATATGTGCAAGAGGTAGAATCAAAAGCGATAGTAGGAAATACAAATGACTTCAAAAAAGTATTAATCTCAATAAGTTTAACAAAAAGTAATTTTACCTGTGGAAAAACAGAAGTAGAACATAAACGGTTTGTATTTTGTATTTCTGAGTCGATGCGAATCGTAAATCGAAAAATCAGCATTTTTTATATGCATTATAAATTTCAGAGTTCAGTCACAGTAAAACTTTCTGAGGTTAGTTATCTGTGACAAAAACAGAGATAAAAAAGGTATCCCGTCGTCACAAAGAGCCCAATCAACAACCCCACTAAGCCAACTAAGCATGTCCCCACTAAGCATGTCCCCTCTGAGCATGTCCCCACAAAGCATGTCCCCTCCAAGCATGTCCCCACAAAGCATGTCCCCACTAAGCATACCAGAGAACAGGCCAAACAGAGCCCAAATTATCACCCGAAGAATTCGTTTTTGCTGCTGCAGGTACTGGCCGATGTGCGTGAGTCTTTTCCGTGGAAGGAACTGTTGAAAAAACAACAAGAGTAGTGAGACAACCAGATAAGAGTGGACATTACACAAGAACCACAATGATTCAGCACCATAACAACAGATGTATGTCTCTGAGAAAGAGTCTGCTTAGCCTGCACTCTCTGAGATCAGTTCTCCACTGCATTTTAATTCTAGTAAAAAGAATTGAAGTCTCAAAGAACAGTTAGTACTGTACAATAGTCACTTTCCTTTCTTTCTCCCAACATTAGGTTTGAGTTTTTTTTTTCAGGACATGTTTCTAAAATTACATATAAGACAATCCACTTTCATAAATGAGGAGAAAGTCAAAGGAAAATAAGTGAACAAACAGGAGTTCCCAAAACTGGAGTTCAAAAACTGATTAAAAGCTCCAGAGAATATGTGTCTCCTAACAACCACCTGGAAGACCTGGTAAACCCCAAAACTGCCCCCATCAGATAAACAGCACTTAAAGCTTTCATCTCTGAGAGAGAGGAGAAAATCAAGCTGCTTCAGATCTGAAAACATCCACAGGTGTTTCTGTCCATCCTTCCACTGTGAGAAGACGACCCAGCGCTGATGGTCTGAAAGGAGGTGTAGCTGTTCGAGAAGAACCTCACTGAGAAAAGGAGACGGACACACCAAACAAAGAAGCTGAGCGATGGACTGACCACCCCAGAGTCCAGACCTCAACACCACTGAATGTGTTTGATTACTTCAGAAAATGATCAACCAGCTTCTAAGACTGAACTTTGGAGGTGTGTCTGCAGATTCTTTGAGGAACTGAAAGTGAGTCTCCTGAAAAGAATGGAAGCTGGAATAAAAGTACAGAGTCGCACACTCAACACTGGACAATGTGATATATTCAGTTGTTGAGATTTCTGTGTGGTTTTCTGTTAAATATATATTCTCTGCTGTTTCCCTGATGCTGAAAACTGTTATAGAAATAATGTTTTAGTTTCTTTATTACCGATTTAAGACGTTCCTGTGGCCAGGCCAACGCTCCTTTAGATATCAGATGGTCAGTAACTGCTTTCAGTGTCCGGTCGTTGCGCTCACATCTCAGCAGACCTTTGTCTTCATGAAACAGGCAGTCCACAGTGAACACATCACTCCTGTTAACAGTCAGTCCGCTGTCTGGAGCAACGAAATTTGGATCAAACGTGTGGTGGAGAACCACTAGAACAACAGGACGGGACGCTGAGAGAGAGAGAGAGAGAGGAAATCATTTGTTTACTGCAATTTGCTCTGTCCAGAAAAAGTGCAGCACTGCCAACTTTCTTCTCACTTTTGTGTTGCTCATATTAGCACATTTTTGCAACGCTACCTAAATATAACCTGTAGAGCTGAATTAGAGCACAATGTATTCTGAGGCAACTGTTTTTACTGGCTAGTTTTTAGATTCTCAAATACCATCAGCCATTTATAATGGTAATCAACTAAACTGGCTGTCTTGTTCAAAAGCAGGGAGTGTTAAACAGTGTTTACTGAGATTGTGTTTATTTCTAATAAAGCACCGGAATGAATTTCCCTTTCGATACAGATTTGTTTTAGAAAGTACATAGAAGTGAAGTAATGATTAGTGAGGATCCAGGAAGTGTTAAGTAAAGTAATCTCATTACATTTTGAGATAAGTAATGATAATAATTTGTAAAGGATTACAGTCTTGAGCTACTACCCCAACACTGTTTGGAGCAGACAGGCATATGAAATGAAAGTTTAAACTCGAGCTCATGGGAACATTTCCAGTTATGTCATTGTTACTGGAGAGATTATCTTTATCAATACTCTTACTGGAGAGATTACCTTTACTGATACTCTTACTGGAGAGATTATCTTTATCAATACTCTTACTGGAGAGATTACCTTTACTGATACTCTTACTGGAGAGATTACCTTTACTGATACTCTTACTGGAGAGATTACCTTTACTGATACTCTTACTGGAGAGATTACCTTTATTGATACACTTACTGGAGAGATTACCTTTATCGATACTCTTACTGGAGAGATTACCTTTACTGATACTCTTACTGGAGAGATTACCTTTATCGATACTCTTACTGGAAAGATTACCTTTATCGATACTCTTACTGGAAAGATTACCTTTATCGATACTCTTACTGGAGAGATTACCTTTACTGATACTCTTACTGGAGAGATTACCTTTAACGATACTCTTACTGGAGAGATTACCTTTACTGATACTCTTACTGGAGAGATTACCTTTATCGATACTCTTACTGGAGAGATTACCTTTATCGATACTCTTACTGGAGAGATTACCTTTATCGATACTCTTACTGGAGAGATTACCTTTATCGATACTCTTACTTGTAAGTATACTTGGGTTGTTGGTATTTGGCATCAGTTTAAAGAAGGTTAAATTTGACCTGAATGAAGTGTCTTACATGCAATTTCCTTAAGAGCAGCTTCAATATCTGTTCCAGCTCGAGACACAACAGCGACAAAAGCGATAATGATGTCACTCTCCTCCTCTGAAACAACTTCACGGAGATGAAGACGTGCTGTGAGCTGGTCTATGAAGTGTATGTGGGAATAAAGAGCATTCCCAAACACCATCATGAAGAATTTTACCACACGGTACTCTGGAGAAGTAAAAACACAACATTGTAGATTGTAGATTATTTGATTATTTACTGTACTATATATATATATATATATATATATATATATATATATATAAAACACAGTATGCAAAGATGCAACGAACCCTTTAATAATGCAAAGAACCCTTGAAGAACCGTCTTTTTTAAGTGTGTAGCCTAGTCTTTTTTCACCTCATGCTTTTCAACTTGAAAACTGATGTGTTTGTGATGAGGTGATAAATTGATACGTGATAAATTATGTTAAAGGCTTTATTTTATTTCGCGCTGTCACTGCGACACTTTCTGTGTAGTACAGCAGCGCTTTGTGCTGCATTTGCTACACAACGCATGTGGTATGCGGTGGCCTTTAGGCCTGCACTCAAACACAATTTCCTGTTAAGCTGCAGTCAAAAGGTTCACGGTGAAAACTTCCCACATTATAACAAAGTTTATGTTAGTAAGAGAGACATTTACTTCATTCAGGCTTGGTTTTCACCAATGAGCAACATCATGTCATCTAGTTCCCATATGTTAATTATGACTTCAACATTTAACATTTTTTTACATACTCATTATGTGAGTCTTACACCATAAGCACAATATGAAACCATGAATAAATAACAAATATGACACGTATTGCAGCAGGCAGAGAAAAACTGTACCAATTTAGTTGTTTTCTCTATTTACAGGCCTACATGTAGTATATCCTGCCACTTCAAGAGCAACGCTAACACTTTATTTTTACACCTTATGAGTAATTTCAACACTCCAGCAGTGAACTAAATACTGAAAGAGTTAATTCAGCACTGTAAGGTCACAGTTTATCAGTCTCAAAAAGGTAAGTCCATAAAAACAGAGGCCGGTCGGTCATCACATTAACTAAGCCCCTTCATCCAGCTCTGACATCATCATTCTTTCTGCCTGCACTTTGAAAAATAACTGAGCTTGTCGATAACAGACGCAAAAAAGTGTTTATAAGTGTAGAAAGAATAACAAACCTCCAAGCATCTTGACAGATTTGGGTCCTGAGAGCTTCTGTGGTCTGACAGTGCTGCGTTTCTCTAAACTACTCAAAGAGAAAAACTTTCACTTTCACTTTTTCATAGACATATCATGAAATTGTGTGGCCAATTAAAACAATACAAAACAAAACTTGACACAGCTGTTTGGAACTAGACTGAAAAAGGAAATGTCACTTATGTTACTCACAGTCTACCTAGACTGGCTGATTAAATTACAACCTGATTTGGCTGATTTGCAGATTTTAGGCATGATGCTCTGTTAATCAAGCTAAAAGAATGTTTTCCTTGGTTAAGTACCTTTTTGTCATCATTACAGTAGCAATATACAACATACTGTGTTTGGAAGTCATCAGTAAAAGTTGGGACACCTGCATCGATTTTCAAAGCTTAATTTACTTCCATTGCTGCAGAACAGCAGTGAGTTGTAAACCAGTTGCGCAAAAACTTTGTATCTCCATTATTGTTGTTTTCACATTTTTGCATAATTTGGAAAAAGTGCAAAAGTGCTAAAATGAACAGCATGATTATGTGCATGGAACTGAAATGTTAACCCAGGTTTTAATGTATATGGACAGAACAAAAGAAGATTCAGCAGATAATATCAAAATTAATCAGAACGAACATCCACAATAAAGTGCTTTTATTTATGCTTTGTGTGCTTGTATTATTCATTGTGTGATTGCTTTAATAATCTAATTCATATAATTTTAATAAGCATGTATCTTAAAAGATAGTTTGACACATAGTCAGTAATCGTACCATTCAAAGTATTACTATTGCTATTGAAAATATTAAAGTGATGCATATTACACCTTTACATTCCATGAGATCTGGAAAACAAAGTACATGTTGTCTTTCACCCTAAATTCACACTATGTAAACATTTCTGTAACCAGTTAAACATTTGCTGCTAAATTTCCACAGCCAGTGTTACAGCACAAGAAAGTCAGCATCGGCCTAAAAACAAATTCTAAAAATTTCAGTGCGTTTCCCTTAGTAAACTAAACTCTAAAAATACTGTTCATTTCCACTTTGCACTGATTTATTCATTTATTTATGAGCAGGACTTTCATTTTAATTTTAGAGGTGGAAATGGTGGCAAATGATCTCTGTCTGCCTGTTATATGTATATATACAGTCATATGCACAAGTCTAAACACCCCTACACTCTCAGAAATAAAGGTACTAAACTGTCACTGGGGCAGTGCCCCTCTTGTCACTGGGGTGGTTCCCTCAAGGCTCCATCTCAGTACCTTTAGTCAGGGAACATAACTGAACCATAATCCACTGAAATGATATGTTCTAAGCTGTACTGACTCCACACACCCCGTCTCGTCTCCAGGCTTTTATTTTACTGTTCTGTTTTAAAACATTCGGTTATGAAAAGGTACAAATACGAACTTTTCACCTGGAAAAACTTATTTAAGGTTCACAATCAGACCTTAAACCACTGTTGTACCTTTGAGGGAACATTTACACTGTTTGTATCTTGATGAATGGAAAATGTACCTGAACAGAACCTTTATTTCTAACAGTGTAGTGAAATGTTTGTCAATATGTTCTGTTGATTTTCTAAGTAAAATAAGTGAACAATCCTCTAAAGAGACAGACTTAAATATACCATTATTCTGCAACCTGTAGTGCACAATTTGACATTTTGGAAAAAATATACCATAAAATATAAAATGCACCATAACTCTCTGTAGAGGATTTGTTAACTTATTTTCACGTAGAAAATCATCAAAATGTAGAACTAAATGTTTGAATATGACTGCATATCATATGACAGGCATTATGTACAAACTAGGATCTCGCTGAATTGTATAAACTGTCTCTCTCTCTCTCTCTCTCTCTCTCTATATATATATATATATATGTAGCCTTGAGTAAACAGACGTCCCAGCATTCTTCTGTTCCGCCAGATTTCATCACACCAGCAACCTCGTCCCCCACTTGACGGCACTCAGATGCTCTGCTGTTTCTTTGCAAGCCTTTATGTTACGGCGGCAGTTCAGCAGCCCTCGGTCTTCATGAAACAGACAGTCCACGGTGAACACATCACTCCTGTTAACATTCAGTCTGCTGTCTGGAGCAACGAATTCTGCATCAAACGTGTGGTGGAGAACCACTAGAATGACAGGCCGGCTCGCTGGGAGGGAACACAGAACGACAGTATAATAAGGCTTCAAGTCTGAAGTGCAAATTTTCTCATGAGAAACATTTCAGTAATAGAATCAGTGAAAAAGCATCAGTGTTTTTGTGCGACATCATTACCAGAAATCGTCTGAAGAGCAGTTTCTATGTCCGTTCCAGCTCGAGACACAATGGTGACAAAAGCTACAATGACATCACTTTTATCCACCAAGGACTCTTGGCGAAGGTAAGCACCGATACTGAGATTTTTCATGAATTCTTTATCGCAATTTAAGGTATTTCCAAAGACCAGCAGGTGAAAACGGATTGGCCCTGCAGCTGAAAGCACAGAAAAAGACTGCATGTATCAAGAAAACTGTGAGAAAATCTAATGTAAAGACTTCGTATTAGAATAATGCACAATTAACATTAGAGCAGTGTACAATTAACATTAAATTCACGGTCTAACTCACTCTCAATAAGCTTATCTGTATCTGTTATTTTGCTTAACTATCTCTTTTATTCAGTACACCATGATATAATTCCAGCTCAACAGTCTGTAGGGGGCGCTCACCTTTGTACCATGCCCATAACAGGAACTCCCACACTGTAAAGTAAAGTTTGTAAAGTTTCACAATAAACACAAAATTGATTGTGAAAGACGTTTTTAAGCACATCCTCAAAGACATATCAGATACAAATACTGTAAATGAATATGTTTCCTGGTGCCAAGGAGAAAATATTCTCATTTCAGTGCTATAAAAAGATTAAGGCAGATTCATTTAGAATAAACAAGACCATTTACACTTTGGATTCATTTATACTGACAAAAACATCATTTCAGTTCCTGGAGGTGGAGAATGAGAGAGTTTGATTTTAAATGTAAAAGCGAATGGTAACACATTTAGAGTAAATCTGTGATTTTTATGAACTTTCCCTTTATTGGAACAGGACAAAAGATGGTTTGACACGTTTTCGAGGTTTGAACTGATAGAGGTTGCTCTTGTTTATCTAAATTTATTTTGCATTCAAGTTTCATTTAAATAATTTATCTGACTTTAATTAAACCAATTAAAGTGAGCTGACAAGCCATCTTTTACAGTGTATTGCACAATATTATATCATTTCTGCTCCACAGCCTGTAGGGGGCGCTCACCTCTGTTTGGTAACTTCTTTTTGACGATTTCCACTCTACGCTGTTGGAAAAAATTGAACAAATAAGAATGTCTGCAGGCTTGAACGATTATAGAGATTAATATGGTGGTAAATAATGCCTGTTCATCTTCAGTAATTGAGAAAGTAAGATTTATTCATAGAGTACATATGAAATAAAAAAGTGCTGTACAAAAATAGCAGATACACTAAAAATAGAAGTGTATGACATCATAAACCAAAAGGTAACCAGACAGTGAGTTATGTATAAGTGCTGTGTGTGGATACATGTGGAAAAACGTGTAATTATCACCAACCCAAAGGAACGGGGCTATCGAGTCACAGAGTCTGATAGGGATCTGGATTACTGTAAAAAAGAAAAAAATAAAGATTAATAAAGGGTCAGATCAAACACTGTTAGACTGCTGTGTAATTTGCTCTCATAACCTGCTGAATTTTAATGCACAGTTTATAACCTGTAGACTATAATTCCCATAATATACTTAGTTTGCTGCTTTTGTTGGGAGTTTTTGTCTCTTATATCTGGATATACTGACAGTTCATCCAGTGCTCAACACTTTAAATGACCGGGCTTATCCAATTGGAAGCCTGCAAGTCAGCAAGTCCTGGGCTTTTAAAGGGTTAACTGATTAAAGGTATAGAAATAAAAAGCCTGAGAATTTATGCTTTGCAGTAACTTATTCAATATTTGGCAGCACCAATGCATATTCGTCTACTTAATCTCAACACTTTCATATGACACACCTTTCACTGTATGTCATAACAAAACGTCCAGAGCAAGTAATACGAGTTTACAGCTTTGCTTATACGGTAATAGCATCTCCTAAATTCTTAAAACTCGATCAGCAACCACAGAAATAGAAATACAGCTGCACTGAGGTCTAATTTCTTAGGAAATATACAGTATAACAACAAAGTGCATCTTTTTTCACTAAAACATTTAAATGATTTCAGTTCAATACAACTTAATTTGTTTTTTATTTGAAGAAAAAACTGATTCAAATGAATGTACAAAACAGAACTGTATGACTGGTTAGGCTAATGAAACCCTTCACCATCAGAATTTAGTTTGTTTTTCTGATATTTTCTAAGTCCTTTTGTTGTTCAAGCCTCTCTTACACCTGCTGAACATAAACAGCCCTTATTAGCACACTACCACCACCATGTTTCACAGCTGGCTCTATGCATCACACATGCTGAAGCCTGACGCAAACAAGTTAATCTTACTTTGATCTGACTTTCAAAGAAAGTGATTCCAATATTCCAATCAGGCTACTTTTCGTTTTCTTTTGCAAACCGTAGTCGTGCAGTTTTGTGTCAATTTGTAAGTAATGGGTTTTATTCTTGGATACCATCCTTAGAGGCTGACTTCAGGCCAGCTTCTGGAGATAAATCTGTGCTAAGCTGTAAACGCTCTGTTTTTCAGTGTAAGTACTGGGCTGTGTGCTCTGTCACCTTTTGTGGAAGGCTGGTTACTGGTAGTGTGGCTCTTCCAAATATGTCCTAATAACTGCTGCACCTGTGTTGCAGTTTATGTTTTGCAGTTTTTCTGGTTTCTTACTTTATCAGATGATCCCTTGCCATGTAGAGCCATGACGGATTACACAGTGCCCATAAATGACCAAACTTCTGGTTTTAACAGCTGACTTTGTCCAGCCTTGTGTTAGGTGGTATAATAATATTAAGGTGTAAGGCAGTATTTCAAAATGATGATGATATTTGAAAATTATGATGCCACATTTTTATTCCTTGCCTAAAAGACCAAACACATTTCACTCATTTCTGTTTTAGAGGGGCTAGTCGAGAGGTGGCGCTGATAAAAAGACATGAGAAGTCAGAGCCAGTAAAAACTATGTATGATAGCAGCTCAGCGACAACTAAGAGCTACAAACACAGCAGAACTCGTTCAGCTTTCACTCTAACACCACTTACTCAACTTTACACCCTCATATATCTTCAAAACAGGGGTCATTTTAGCTTTAGTTAGCTGATACCGAGCCTGTGCTGTGCTGTGTGGTATGTTTGGCCTGCCACACTATTCTTAGCTCAGCCTAAATGCTACAATCCCACAGAACAGGTTCTATTTCTGTCACTTCAACACCAGCAACTCCACTTTTACTCTCTCAGACTTTAGTTTTTATCATCTACACTTGTTTTAGCAGGAGTTAGTTCAGAATCAAACCTGCACTGTGGTGTGTGGCGCTGTTTGGGTCTGTAGCCTCTCGCTAAGCTAACGTTAAGTTAGCCAATCAGGCTACAGATCAAACACCACAGAACAGGTTTAATTTCACCTTTCTGCCCCGTCAGCACCAGCCGCTCCACTTCACTCCCTCAGATTCGAATCATTATCATTTAAACTCGTGTCGGTGCTTTACTTAGCCAAATCAGAACATGTTCTGTGGTGAGCAGAGCTTTTGTCATGCTAGCTAAGCTAATGCTAACTACAGCATTCACTTACTAGGTGATCATATAAGTGAACTAAACTTTCTAATTATTTTTGGTTTTACAGTATTGCAGGATAACAGGTCACCAAAGCAAAACAAATGCTTTTTCACGTCAGTTATGATGCCCCACCCGGGTAACACTGCACACCGCGGTAATATCTGAAGATATGAAACAAGAAGTAGACGCGATGCTAGTGTAGCATCCAAACAAACAGTCAATCAGCCATAAAGCTTTGTTAAAGGGTGTAACAGTGCTTAAATAATTACAGGTGAACTCACTGACTGTCTATGATGGACTCTGTCATTTCAGTATAGTCTGTCTAACCTAAATATTTTACATTAAACATAATAGCAGGTATTTAGGTATTTAAAGTATTTTTAAGTCTTTAATCACTCAGTAGCCTCAGTAGCCTAATACTGAACAGCAGAGTGGACATTTCTGTACATTGGTGTTGTTCAGTGGATGTGTTGTTGTTGCAGTGCTAAAAACAGACCTGCAAATGCTGAAGTGACCCCCTTTTGGGGCTTAAAGTTTCCATGAGGTAAAGTGCAAAACCACAGGGAAGCGCAGAGAACAACTGAACACGGGGTACAATTTAACACTGACTTTTTATGTTGTTATACAAAGTTAAGCAGTGTGAGCTTCTGACCACTTCACCACATTTTCTGGCCATGGTCTCCCACCGAAATTCAGAGCGATTCGTCAGCATTTTAATAAGATCTGAGCCAAAGAGTGTTTTCAGGGCATGCAAGTAATTTTTTTAACACAGGTTTTTTCTGTTACTAAACTGCTTGTATAAATCACAGAATACAATCTTATATTACTTTAATCACCATCTTGTTTCCTACAACATAGCACTGTTTTAAAGCAGCTGTACGGAGGCTGTGCTTAAGCGCTAGTTAGGCTTCAGTCCAGCCTGCGCACTGCGAGGTTAGTTCTTACACAGCGTTACAGCTCAGACACCTTCAGTGCACAAAGACTGATAAAGTACATTCAGTCTTTTTGTTCCATATGTTTACATACATTTTTTAAAATGAAAAGGAAAACAGGGATTTTTTCTACCTCATTAGCATCTTTCAGATGTCAGTATTTTGGTTTTAATTAAGTATATTAATGAAATTGACATTACTTTTATCCACCAAGGACTCTTGGCGAAGGTAAGCACTGATACTGAGATTTTTCATGAATTCTTTATCGCAATTTAAGGTATTTCCAAAGACCAGCAGGTGAAAACGGATTGGCCCTGCAGCTGAAAGCACAGAAAAAGACTGCATGTATCAAGAAAACTGTGAGAAAATCTAATGTAAAGACTTCGTTTTAGAATAATGCACAATTAACATTAAATTCACAGTCTAACTCACTCTCAATAAGCTTATCTGTATCTGTTATTTTGCTTAACTATCTCTTTTATTCAGTACAACATGATATAATTCCAGCTCAACAGTCTGTAGGGGGCGCTCACCTTTGTACCATGCCCATAACAGGAACTCCCACACTGTAAAGTAAAGTTTGTAAAGTTTCACAATAAACACAAAATTGATTGTGAAAGACGTTTTTAAGCACATCCTCAAAGACATATCAGATACAAATACTGTAAATGAGTATGTTTCCTGGTGCCAAGGAGAAAATATTCTCATTTCAGTGCTATAAAAAGATTAAAGCAGATTCATTTAAAATAAACAAGACCATTTACACTTTGGATTCATTTATACTGGCAAAAACATCATTTCAGTTCCTGGAGGTGGAGAATGAGAAAGTTTGATTTTAAATGTAAAAGTGAATGGTAACACATCTAGAGTAAATCTGTGATTTTTATGAACTTTCCCTTTATTGGAACAGGACAAAAGATGGTTTGACACGTTTTCGAGGTTTGAACTGATAGAGGTTGCTCTTGTTTATCTAAATTTATTTTGCATTCAAGTTTCATTTAAATAATTTATCTGACTTTAATTAAACCAATTAAAGTGAGCTGACAAGCCATCTTTTACAGTGTATTGCACAATATTATATCATTTCTGCTCCACAGCCTGTAGGGGGCGCTCACCTCTGTTTGGTAACTTCTTTTTGACGATTTCCACTCCACGCTGTTGGAAAAAATTGAACAAATAAGATTGTCTGCAGGCTTGAATGATTATAGAGATTAATATGATGGTAAATAATGTCTGTTCATCTTCAGTAATTGAGAAAGTAAGATTTATTCATAATATGAAATAAAAAAGTGCTGTACAAAAATAGCAGATACACTAAAAATAGAAGTGTATGACATCATAAACCAAAAGGTAACCAGACAGTGAGTTATGTTTTGTGCTGTGTGTGGATACATGTGGAAAAACATGTAATAATCACCAACCCAAAGGAACGGGGTTATGGAGTGACAGATCTGGATTACTGTAAAAAAGAAAAAAATAAAGATTAATAAAGGGTCAGATCAAACACTGTTAGACTGCTGTGTAATTTGCTCTCATAACCTGCTGAATTTTAATGCACAGTTTATAACCGGTAGACTATAATTCCCATAATATACTTAGTTTGCTGCTTTTGTTGGGAGTTTTTGTCTCTTATATCTGGATATACTGACAGTTCATCCAGTGCCTAACACTTTAAATGACTGGGCTTATCCAATTGAAAGCCTGCAAGTCAGCAAGTCCTGGGCTTTTAAAGGGTTAACTGATTAAAGGTATAGAAATAAAAAGCCTGAGAATTTATGCTTTGCAGTAACGTATTCAATATTTGGCAGCACCAATGCATATTCGTCTACTTAATCTCAACACTTTCATATGACACACCTTTCACTGTATGTCATAACAAAACGTCCAGAGCAAGTAATACGAGTTTACAGCTTTGCTTATACGGTAATAGCATCTCCTAAATTCTTAAAACTTGATCAGCAACCACAGAAATAGAAATACAGCTGCACTGAGGTCTAATTACTTAGGAAATATACAGTATAACAACAAAGTGCATCTTTTTTCACTAAAACATTTAAATGATTTCAGTTCAATACAACTTAATTTGTTTTTTATTTGAAGAACAAACTGATTCAAATGAATGCACAAAACAGAACTGTATGACTGGTTAGGCTAATGAAACCCTTCACCATCAGAATTTAGTTTGTTTTTCTGATATTTTGTAAGTCCTTTTGTTGTTCAAGCCTCTCTTACACCTGCTGAACACAAACAGCCCTTATTAGCACACTACCACCACCATGTTTCACAGCTGGCTCTATTCATCACACATGCTGAAGCCTGACGCAAACAAGTTAATCCTACTTTGATCTGACTTTCAAAGAAAGTGATTCAGGTGTACTCACTGACTGTCTATGATGGACTATATATAGTCTGTGCTAACCTGAATATTTTACATTAAACATAATAGCAGGTATTTAGGTATTTAAAGTATTTTTAAGTCTTTAATCACTCAGTAGCCTAATACTGAACAGCAGAGTGGACATTTCTGTACATTTGTACTGTTCAGTGGATGTGTTGTTGTTGTTGCAGTGCTAAAAACAGACCTGCAAATGCTGCAGTGACCCCCTTTTGGGGCTTAAAGTTTCCATGAGGTAAAGTGCAAAACCACAGGGAAGCACAGGGAACAACCGAACACAGGGCACAATTTAACACTGACTTTTTATGTTGTTATACAAAGTTAAGCAGTGTGAGCTTCTGACCACTTCACCACATTTTCTGGCCATGGTCTCCCACCAAAATTCAGAGCAATTCGTCAGCATTTAGGCCAGGACCGATTCTGGGCTCATTTTGGAGGAGAGGCCAATTATGGCTGGTTTGCTTTCACACACAAGAATTCAATCCGAAACCAGCATATCCTGAGGTTCACTGTGTGCCGGCGAGGATTCAAGACGGCTTCAGCAGAGGAGCGAACGGCGGCTGAGGAGACACTTTAAATGTAAGCGTTGGGTTTAAACTGAGTCGAATAGCGAACGATACAGATGTTAAAGAGCTGATCTCAAACTCTTGAATTCGAGTTATTGGAGTTTAAAACGGCCCTCATATACATTCATGATGTCTGTGAGCGCGAACAGCCAATGAGCTGCTCTGCTCACCAACTGATCAGCCCTCAGTAGCAGTAATGTCAACCAATCAGCACTCAGTAGCAGTAATGCTAACCAATCAGCGCTCAGTAGCAGTAATGCCGACCAATCAGCTCTCAGTATCAGTAATACTAACCAATCAGCACTCAGTAGCAGTAATGCTGACCAATCAGCTCTCAGTAGCAGTAATGCCAACCAATCAGCTCTCAGTAGCAGTAATGCCAACCAATCAGCTCTCAGTAGCAGTAATGCTAACCAATCAGCACTCAGTAGCAGTAATGCCAACCAATCAGCTCTCAGTAGCAGTAATGCCAACCAATCAGCTCTCAGTAGCAGTAATGCTAACCAATCAGCTCTCAGTAGCAGTAATGCTAACCAATCAGCACTCAGTAGCAGTAATGCTAACCAATCAGCACTCAGTAGCAGTAATGCTAGCATTGTACTGCCCAAAACCCGTTTGCTGTATAAAAAGGAATCAAACAGGTGCGTTTTGTTTGCTGTTTTAGTGAAATTCGTCTTTCTACTCTCTAAAATTAAAGGAAAGCTCTGTTTAAGTGATTAGAAACTATTTTAACTTTTCGTTTTAGCCGTTTAGCTCCATTCACCCCCATTCACTGAGGACTCGCTCGCGGGCGCCCTCTGGCGTTGTGCAGTCATGGGGGAAAAGGCAGAGTTCAGACTCCTCATAAACCAGGTGTTGTGCCGAATTCCGACTCCCCGGCAGAATCCGACTCCCCCTCGCGTGCACGCGCTTCACGTAAACATGTGGACGTTACGGACTGCACTCAGGATTTCTTAGGTTATTTCTGTGTAAATAACGCTTTAACTTTAATTTACCTTCACAGCGAACAACACAACAGGATCTAAAGCCAAACAAAGACTCTCACCGCGACGGTTTAGTTTAATATTACGAAATAAAAACGATTGTTGTTGTTGCAGTACTTGAGAACTGGTGGGACTGAATGGCTTTCAGTCATGACGATAAGTGTTACGACACATTAAACACAGCTTTAAACCTCTGTGTGGAGCAATAAAGCTCACATCTGAGGACCTGACGCTGCAGTATTGACCGACCGAGCAACCAGACTTTCATTGCTTGCATAGCTGGACAAATTAACGAATTGGTATCCATTACTGCATAAAAGAGTTGCCTATAATTAAAAATTGCAGTAAGAACAATTGTTGTAATGGTAGTAATTTAAGGTTAATTTTGGCTGAAAAGTCAGCAGCTTTTACATAGTCAGAAGGTGTATTGTGAACCTGTCAAAATGATGCCCCTCATATCTCTGGGGATGCATTATGACTGGAATGATTAATTTGTTCTGCTGACTTCTGGTTCATAGATTACAGCATATAAAGCATATGTCTCTAAATTCAACAGGGGGGATTTTACTGGGGGAGTAGAATTTTGGCAGGATTATTCTGACACCTGCCGAAATTACACTCATTCTTACTCTCACAGGTAAGAAAGAAAGGAGCATGAAAATTAAGTACGTAAAGCTGAACAAATTACGACCTGTCGCTCACGTCAATTCCACCACACAAAACAAGAGTCGTCATAAGAATAGAAAAATGATGCGTTCAGAATTTTTCTTCATGAGCAAACCTTTCATGTTATTAATGATTTGACATAAGTCAATAAATATATAAATGAAATACAAGAAAGAAATAAGAAACTAAAAGATTTATTAAACAAGCCTGACATTACAATGTTATTAATCAAAGGAACCTCATCAATTTCTACAAATCAGAAATCCAAATGTACATTGTATTAATACTATAATATTCTGCAGAAATGTAACAAAGTTTACTGTATATCAAATAAAGTGTCAAAATAATCCTGCCAAAATTCTACCTCCCCAGTAAAATCCCTCCTGTTAAATCTAAAGTAAAATGCATTTCAGGACACAATCTACAGCCCAGGACATGCTAGCAAAATAAAGGAGATGTCATTCAGACCTTGCAGTGCTGAGATCAGAGGGGGAGTGTAATTTCGGCAGCTGTCAAAATAATCCTGCCAAAATTCTACTCCCCCAGTAAAATCCCCCCTGTTGAATTTAGAGACATATGCTTTATATGCTGTAATCTATGAACCAGAAGTCAGCAGAACAAATTAATCATTCCAGTCATAATGCATCCCCAGAGATATGAGGGGCATCATTTTGACAGGTTCACAATACACCTTCTGACTATGTAAAAGCTGCTGACTTTTCAGCCAAAATTAACCTTAAATTACTACCATTACAACAATTGTTCTTACTGCAATTTTTAATTATATGCTACTCTTTTATGCAGTAATGGATACTAATTCGTTAATTTGTCCAGCTATGCAAGCAATGAAAGTCTGGTTGCTCGGTCGGTCAATACTGCAGCGTCAGGTCCTCAGATGTGAGCTTTATTGCTCCACACAGAGGTTTAAAGCTGTGTTTAATGTGTCGTAACACTTATCGTCATGACTGAAAGCCATTCAGTCCCACCAGTTCTCAAGTACTGCAACAACAACAATCGTTTTTATTTCGTAATATTAAACTAAACCGTCGCGGTGAGAGTCTTTGTTTGGCTTTAGATCCTGTTGTGTTGTTCGCTGTGAAGGTAAATTAAAGTTAAAGCGTTATTTAAACAGAAATAACCTAAGAAATCCTGAGTGCAGTCTGTAACGTCCACATGTTTACGTGAAGCGCGTGCACGCGAGGGGGAGTCGGATTCTGCCGGGGAGTCGGAATTCGGCACAACACCGGCTCTCCAGCACGAGACGAACGAGTCGACACAGTCATGGTACAAAACGAACCAATGATGAAACCCCACGCGCAGCAGACCGCACCACCGATTTTACGAGGACCAAAGATCAGTTCTCCGGGCCGCTCCGGGGATCGAAAACAGCTTCAACACGACCAACCGAACCGAACCCGTAGAGTAAAGCGATCCGGGGTCCGGATTAAAACTACAGTGTGAAAACGCGCTTAAACACAACCCGCCTTCATAGCCGGGCAGCGTGACCCGTCTCACTGACCAGTTCAGGAACTGGGGCGTTTTACATACCTGACATGCTCAGAAACTGGAGTCCGTCTCTCAGTCAGTGAAGCGGGTCTTATCCTGTCAGTATCAGCCGCAGGAATGAGCGGCTCGGACCGCCCGCACTGATCAAAACTGACAGCGCTGCAAAACTGAAACTGAAACTGAATTAGTCCAGTTATTGATCAGCCGGTCACTCACACTGCCCCAATCAGGAACTGCTGACAGCACCGCAGTGTGGTGGAAATACTGTCGCACTACCAGCTGTTTAATTGTGTTGTTAGACCTGCTTTTGGGGGGAAACCTGGGTTCTTGTCATTTACTGCGCTCTGCTGGTGGTGTGTGGTATTGCATTTGATATTATAGCAGTGGTGCTCAATATATATGTGTGTGTGTGTGTGTGTGTGTGTGTGTGTGTGTGCGTGTGTACATGCTGAACTGAATAAACTATGTATACACTCTTTTAAAAGCTGCTTTAGTAAAGAAAATAGTCATATATAGAACCTTTCTGAAAGGGGCAGTGGTGGACGAAGTACACAAACCATGTACCTGAGTTAAAGTAGAGATACCCAAGATAAAATATGACTCCAGTAAAAGTAGAAGTTCCTCCCTTTAGACCTCCACTTGAGTAAAAGTACAAAAGTATTTGCCTTCAAATGTACTTAAGTATCAAAAGTGAAAGTACTAAAAGATTAATTATGGCTTTAATGTCCTGTTATCATTTTTATAACAAGACTCGCTTCATTAACTCATTTTAGGTGAAAATACTCCAGTGTCTCTCTTGGTAAACCAGTCTTTTAATAGAATGTCATTAATTAGTGACGCTGATGTCTATTAAAATTATCATAAGCACAAAACACTGAAGGCAAACAGTTTCCATCAGGTAGAACTGAGTGGCTCTGAAATCACTTTTTACAAACAAGCAAAGTTTCAGTTTAAGATTTATTTTCAACTTAGTTACAAGTTTAAGTTTAATAAAAACTTTAAACTCAGATTCACAAATGAGTTTCCTTTACTAAACTGCATCTGTAGGTCTCTGTTCATAAACATAAACTAGCCCAAACTAATTTACTATAAAATGAAAGTGTTTGTGTATGTGTACATGTTTCTATATTGTGGTCTATTTACACAAAGTTAGGTTAGTTCATCATTTATGTTGAACAGACACTCCCAAAATTTTACACTGCTGCATTGACGTTGAACTGTTTGCTTGCACTGGGTCGGTATGTCCAACAGGTCAAAACAAGCTCAAAACAAAGTGCCGCTGTGCCCTGATTGGTGTTGGCGCTTCTTTCGTTTTGACATGTTTCGTTTTTATACACACATAAACCAAAAGGAACGACAGATTTCTCATAATGTAGTGGAGGAAAAAGTGAGATATCTGACTTTGAAATGTAGTGGAGTGAAAGTAAAAAGTCACCCAAAGTGGAAAAAACTTCAGTAAAGTACAGATACACGGAAAACTACTTAAGTACAGAAACGAATTACATTTACTTAGTTACTGTCCACCACTGGAAAGGGGTTCTATATAGCACCAAAAAGGGCTTCTATTGTTATGATGTCCATATAGAACCATATACAACACATTCTCTATCTATCTGAAGAACGCTTTCATGATGCAAAGAACCATTTCGGCATGCAAATAGTTCTTTGGGTGTTCATGGTTCTATCTAGAACATTTTTCTTTACTAAAGAACCCTTAAAGATTATCACTTCACCACACGCATAGTATAACTTTAGCTTAACCATTGCATGTTGTTCAGGAGCACCTTCAGCCACCAGCTCATTCCACAAAGGTAATGGGGATCTTTTGTCTTGACTGCCATCAGACCCCACAGTTCCTCCTCTCAGTGTGATCATCATCCCTCACACCCAACAACCAGACGATTTATCCATACAAATAAAACGTCACATACAAGACAAAAAGCAGGACCATATACTTAACAGAACATTACAGAGAAGCCTCAACAACCAGATGCAATTTTATTTATTCAGTGGTCAGTGAGTCGCTTTTCACCTTTATTCCAGCTTCCATTCTTTTCAGGAGACTCACTTTCAGTTCCTCAAAGAATCTGCAGACACACCTCCAAAGTTCAGTCTTAGAAGCTGGTTGATCATTTTCTGAAGTAATCAAACACATTCAGTGGTGTTGAGGTCTGGACTCTGGGGTGGTCAGTCCATCGTTCAGCTACTTTGTTTGATGTGTCCGTCTCCTTTTCTCAGTGAGGTTCTTCTTGACAGCTACACATCCTTTCAGACCCACAGCGCTGAGTCGTCTCCTCACAGTGGAAGGATGGACAGAAACACCTGTGGATGTTTTCAGATCTGAAGCAGCTTGATTTTCTCCTCTCTCTCAGAGATGAAAGCTTTAAGTGCTGTTTATCTGATGGGGGCAGATTTAACTATCTACACTATGTAATGGGATGCCCAACAAGCTCATAAAGGTGTGATGGTCAGATGTCCACATACATTTGGCCATATAGTGTATATCTCTGTTTGCAGAGTTGTGAAGTAATACATTAATAGTGAGCCTAGCAAACTTCAGTTCAGTGCTGAGAAGATGCTTCTGTACTAAAAAGTACATAATCAGTCCTTTTGATCTATCTTTCTATCTGTTTATCTATCTAGCTATTGATCCATCCATCCATCTATCTATCTGTCTATCTATCTATCTATGTATCTATCTGTTTATCTATCTATCTATCTATCTATCTATCTATCTGTCTATCTATCTATCTATCTATCTATCTATCTGTCTGTCTAATGATCCATCCCTCCCTCCATCCATCCATCTATCTGTCTATCTATCTATCTAGTAACATTTTCCAAAAGAACATTCGCGCGTGCGCATTAGTCTCTGCGTCCTCCCCCTGACAGTGTGTTTAAAGCGGCGGCGCGCCTGCGCGTTCTAGCTCCGCTCTCCCTCCGTCTCTCTCCGCGTGCAGCTCTCGTTCCCTCTGCGCGCGCCATGGCTCACGTCGCCGACACCAAGCTATACGACCTTCTCGGTGTGTCGCCCAGCGCCTCCGAGAACGAGCTCAAAAAGGTAAATCAAGGGGACCACGGGGGTTTTTAAAGTCAGGCCTCAGCGGGCCGCGGGGTGCCACGGCGCCGGACACGCAGCCTTCAAATCGGCATGAGGAAGAAGGATTAGCCGCGGTAGCTCGGCTGCTGTGGCCTGTCGGCGTTAGCCTTAGTCAGCTAACTTAGCTCCGCTTATACCGGCAGACACAGGCGGCTAAACCGAGAGCCGGATACAGTCTGACCGCGTTCACGGCTTCTGTTCAGCCGTGGAATGTGTGTTCGAGGACCTGTCATCCGCGGCAGGTCTCGGAAAAGCTCAGGAATGTAAACCCCGCTCACTCCGAGCTCAGCGGGCCGCGGCGCAGCGCGACGCCGAGCTCAGCTCCTCTAATTCGGTACAAGGACGGGGGATTATCTTACCCGCTAGCATGCTAAGCTAACGCGATCGGCCTATTAGCATTAGCAATGACCGGCTAGTTGCGATTCCATCGAAGTCTGTATTATTGTTGTGATTAGTTAAGATGGCTTATTAGACATAATCAATAATGTGTTGAGTGTATTTAAAACGGTTCAGTTCGTGTTTAGAACTGTATTTCCTGAAGACTTGTTTCGAGATGTTTTGCGTCCGCTGTTGTGAAACCGTGGTGAACGTTCAGTAAAAAGCAGACCAACATCGTCTCACTAGTAACGTTCACAGTGATCGTGGTGACAAAGCGGGAGTTTAAGGTAGTGAACTAGTTCGTTGGCTGTTTTCAAGTCGCCTTCTGTGGCGAAGCTTAAGTCAGCTTTCTGTTCGCGAGCTTAGTGGTTGAATTTCGCCGTTCCACCTTAAATGGTGCAGCAGTTACGTTCTGGCACCTGAGGCGTAACGATAACTTCTGGCGCATTTAAGGTGGAACGGAAAAATTCGAATAGGAAGCAACTTCAGCCTCGTTCTTCAGAACAAGTTCACTTCTGTCACAGATAGCTGCTGTTAGCCGGATTAGCTGGGCTGTGTACGGTGGTAGGCCTGGTTTGTGTGTTTATGACTGTATTTATTCTTTTCTTTCTTCTGACGTTATATCGCCTGTTTCACTTTGAGGTCAGAGATCAAAGACGCAGTTTGGTCAGATATTAAAATAAAGTTTAATGAAATCCCTGGTGGCTTCTGCCGGCTTCGAGAAGCGAATTTGGTAGTTAGTGACGTTAAACGAGCTCAGATTAAATGCGTTGTTAGTATTCAGTGCGTTTTATTTGTATTAATTTGATCCAGTTTAGCCTTTGCTTTATTTGGTATTTCTGTTTCTACTGTGTTACCAAAGCGGTTAAAAGATAAGCTGGTCTCGTAGGCTATCTTAAGGAGGATGTCCACCATTTTTACAAAATTTGAGTAGTTCTGTATTTGAGAAGTAAAGAGTTATTCTGAGTGGTTTATTCACTGTAGAGAAACTTACTATCTCTCTGAGGTCTTTACAGTGGTGGTGATAGGAACCAGGGATCAGTGTCTACAACACACACACACAGACTTTTTATTTGTTATCCAGAACCCCTGGTCAACCTACACATTTTCTGAGGTTTTTATATGTAATGTTGATGATGGTAAAATAGTGTGTATAAATAATGAATGGGTTAACAAGACTTTTTAGGCCAAAATGTTATCATAAAACTATCATAAAACAATGTATGACATCAGGGAGCATACTCATAACCAACTGAGGGAGGTTTTTAGAGTCATTAACCTCTTTAGATGTCTGGTTCCATTCACCACCACTGAACAGTTCTGACTCGTAAAGTTGAAGCATTTCCCATCAAACCTCTCTGAATGACCCTGTTTACAGCCAGTCTCAGCCACTTAATGATGCAGAATCTTAAAAGAGCTTATGTTAGATGTGTGATAGTGGATCTTGTTTTTCTACTGTGTGAGGTGCTGTCCGCCCCCACCCTTTGGGAGGAGGGGGCACACTTAAAGGGGAATTCCACAGATTGTACCAGAATGTCAGCATAATTCAATGATTAAGATGTAAACAAACTGCATTGAAGAGGAACTTTATCGGCCAGGCTTTATTTACAGTGGTGATGAATCATTGTCATTTTATTTTCTATCCAGAAGTGAACTATTGGACCTTCATGTGTCTTATGAGTTTTTGTGTGTATGTTGATGTTAACATAGTTGTAAATCTGAAAAAAAAAAATTTTTTTGGGGGGGGGGCAGTATTTTGTCTCTCAAGACCCCTGCAGGTACCGCTCCACCATGAAGGACTTAAGCCAAAACCTTATTTTAAAACTATCATAAGGCAGCGTATTTGTAGCCATTTCGAGTAATAATGGGTTTCTTTGAGGGAGCTTTTAGTGGCATTAACTTCAGATGTCTGCATCCTGTCACCACCACTGTCAACATTTCTGACTGTCGGATCACTTCAAAAGACTTTCACATCCTAATGATTTATGTACAGAAATTTAGGAAAATTGGTGGAATTCCCCTTTACTGACATGAAGTAGCTAGCTTGCTAGCTGGCTAATTAATTAGTTAATTACATAACTCAACATCTGTCAAGCTGTATGATCTGGTCAGATTAGTCAGTTTAGACCATATTTTTTTTTAATAGACAGCCAGCAAAAACAACATTTTGAACAACATATTAATTTTCCTATAATGGTTTGTTGTGTGATTTGATGTATATTTAATTTAGAGTTGCTCAGCTCATGGCATAATAAGTTTTTGGTGTGGGGGGAAAAAAAAATAATGTTCTCCACTGATGGTGTGTCTAACCCTTTAATATTGATTTTCAGGCTTACCGGAAATTAGCAAAAGAATATCATCCTGACAAGAACCCAAATGCTGGAGACAAGGTAAGGACTGTGGCTTCTTTAGAAATTAACCATGTTGTTGTTGTTGTTGTTGTTGTTGTTGTTGTTGTTGTTTTTGTTTTTCCTAAAAAAATAAATATTAGGTCATCAGTTATTCTGATTTTATTAGCTTTGGGTTTTATCATGCAGATTAAAACTCAAAGAATTCTGGTATAATTAGAAAACTGCAAGAAGTAGTTTCAGATCAATAGTTTAACTGCACAGCTTCATGCTGTAAGTGGTTGTTATTTTCTGGATCATACCAAAAATAAGACATGAAGTGAGATTATGTTGGATCTCAACATTATTATTGATCTCGTGACCGTGCTTTGAGACTGAACGGTGGAACTACTACTACGTTTAATACTTAGTTAAAGGGGCATTTGGCCTAAGCTACCATTTACTGTTATGTCATGCTGTGTAGCATTCGGTAGCGCAGTGTTACATCATTTAGCCTCACTGGTGTGACAGAATTCATGATTTTAATTCTTTTGCATTTTCGTTCATCACTGTTGTCTCACTACAGTTCTCAGCATACAGTACGCAATCGTCGGTAATCCTCCCTACTGTGGTAAAGAAGTGCACAGTGCTCACCAGCTTTAAAAAAACATCTTAAAAATGCGTTATTTTCTCACCACTTTAGGAGGAGAGCAGGCATGTTCACAGCGGCTGTAGCAGTAATCTTTCCTTTTTTCCTGGAGTTCCCCTTTACTCATATCTACATGGCTTGGGCTCAGGAAATATAACACTGTGAAAACTTTTTAAAATGCGCAAGTTAAATTATGACCTATATTCACCACTGTTTGTGTTTTTCAGTTCAAGGAGATCAGCTTTGCGTATGAAGTTCTATCAAACCCAGAGAAGAAGGAGCTGTATGACCGCTATGGAGAGCAGGGGCTGCGGGAAGGGGGCTGCGGAGGTCCTGGAATGGACGACATCTTTTCCCACATTTTTGGTGGTGGCCTCTTTGGCTTCATGGGTGGTCACAGTCGCAGCCGGAATGGTGGGCGGCGGAGAGGAGAGGACATGGTCCACCCTCTCAAGTAAGTGCGACCCTGACTGACATTTTTACGCTGTGTAGGCCGAGAAGGTAGCATTTTTTTTAGGCTTTTGTTATGTGGAGGTGTGGAAGTGTGCTGTAGAGATGTCCCATTGTCCCTTTTAAATCTGTTTTGTTTTTCTTGTTTTGTTTTGTTTTTTAAATGTTGAAAATGAAAAGTCTTTCTGGTGTCTAATGTGCCTTTCCTCCCGTTGTAGGGTATCCCTCGAAGACTTATATAACGGCAAAACAACCAAATTACAACTAAGCAAGAATGTTCTGTGTAGCACTTGTAACGGGTAAGTTTATAATATACATAATTAGCATCAGTTAAAGATATTTACTACATAAAAAGGTATAATCTCTCGGAAAGTTAGACTAAGATTAAGTGATTTATCTTGTTGGTAACTAGCGTAGTCATTGTCTTGATAGCTGCTCTGTATGTGTTGGTGAATACAGTAGGTTATATATTTTAAGAGCAGCAGTGGTCTGTGCTTTCTGTCAGTCTCTATTGGGTTGTCAGATGGTCATTATAGTGCCTCTGCATGGTGTGGGCTTTAGTGTAATCGTCCACTGTTCCTGTATTTATGCAGCCAGGGCGGAAAGAGTGGTGCAGTCCAGAAGTGTACAACCTGTAGGGGACGTGGTATGCGCATCATGATCAGACAGCTGGGTCCTGGCATGGTCCAACAGATGCAGTCCGTCTGCACTGACTGCAGTGGTGAAGGTGAGTTACTGCAGATGTGAGGACCTTCTTGCACTGTAAGGTTTTGCTTTGCAACTGTGTAACAAGCTCTTCAGATGTTGAGCTGCACAGAAATAAATTTGCAGTGCAAGTGTCAGCCATGCCTGCACATGAAGATTGATTGATTTATTTATTTAATTGGGGGGAGACTGTAGGGCCAAATAACTGCGTCATACTGTGGCCTGTGTTATGACAGCGTTTTCGGGCCACTGTTGATAAAAATAAAAATAATACACTTTGAGAAACTTGTAATATTTTGAGAAACAACTTGTACGGTGTGTTGTTTTAAAGAAAAGTCATAATATTTAGAGAAAAAGGTCATATTTTGATAATATAATTGTAGAATTATGCCATTAAAGTGGCATTAATTCCAGGAAAGGTATTGCAAAGGTATTGTGGCCAAAGTCTTTGCGAAGGGAGGGCAGCACCTCCTCGTGTTAAATGAGGGGCAGTGAGTTGGTGGAGTTATACTTTCATATCGATTCACCCATAAAGAAACACTCAGTCTCCCTGTCTCTCCTGCACATCAGCACCAGCCTGTTATTAGTAAAAGAACCGGCTGAAACGGCTGAGCAGGAAACTGTGTTTATCTAGAATAAAGAGCCAGACGGACTCGGAGGAAAGTCTGTCTGTGTTGTTCAAGGAGAATCTCAGGCAGGGTCGTCTACACGGCTATCAGGGCTGCATCTCCACACCATTCAAAGAGGGCATGAAGTTTCACAGACAGTGAGAATGATAATCAAAATGATCCACAGAGAGACAGGAGTGAGTGGAGCTCCGGCGCCAGTACAGCAGCCGAGACCCCAACGCGTTATGGAAGCCCCCCTACAGTTAGGCCACTTTATTCTCCAAATATTACTACTTTATTCTCAAGGTCAACTATTTTTATTATCAGTGGCCCTAAAACACAGTCTTTCTGCGTAGATCAATCAAACAGTTCTGGGTTCTTTACCCATCTGGTATGCTGCCTAATCCACTCATGAAACTCATGAAAATATAATTTCAGAAAAAAAGTTTTTTTATTGAACCGCTATATTAAACAGAGGAGCTTTTAAACTTTAAAAAGGTTAACACTTTAAAACCTATTCACTGAAAGGTTCTTCAGGGAACCAAAAGTGGTTCTTCTGTGGTATTTCTACAGAGAACTCTTTGGCAGATTTTTAATCTATCTCTCTGTTTATTTAGTGTATGAGATAAAGGAGGACCAGCGTTGGCATTCTATGTGTTCAAGTTGTCACTTACAATTATGTTTGCTGACAACATTGAGGATAAATTTTTTTTTTTTGGTTGATGTCGGATGATGTCACAAACAATATAGTCTGTCCACAAAGGGTGCACATCCCGCTATTTATTTATTAATGTATCTTATTTTTTGTATTTGTGTTTTTGTATTTTGTGTGTGTGCGTGTGTGTGTGCGTGTGTGTGTGTGTGTGTACCAAAAACAGTCAGTTTCCAGTCCCTCTTTATTTTCTCCTCAGTGGATCATGTCAACATGTTAGTTTGTCAGAGAAAATATCTTGATTGTTTCTGGACCTGGCTAACATTAGCTACAGTAGTTAGCGCTACTCATTCACATCCTTGGCAATCCAGTCATGTCCAGGCAGTCGTGTTTCGGAGTAGCAAAGCATGACTTTTGTTCAGATACAAGAAAATCGATTGCGTTCACCTGAATTGCTGGCTTGTATTGTTTTTCTCCATCTTCCTGTGATGAAATGTAAAGAATACCTGAAAACTCATTTCAGTATTTGATAAAGGCTCCTCAAATGGTTGAGCACTTGAGTACCTGTGTACATCTAATGTGAATGTCAGATGTTTTATACATAAAGCCATGATAATTGTGTGTGTTTAGGTGAGGTGATCAGTGAGAAGGACCGCTGTAAAAAGTGTGAGGGGAAGAAGGTGGTGAAGGAGGTGAAGATTCTGGAGGTGCATGTAGACAAGGGCATGAGGCACGGGCAGAAGATCACCTTTGGAGGGGAGGCAGACCAAGCGCCAGGCGTGGAGCCTGGAGACATCGTCCTTGTCCTGCAGGAGAAAGATCATGAGGTATATTCGCACTGCACAGTGACATTTTCCACCACCTTTTTCTGTAAAGTTCAGTTTTTAGTGATGTGACTAGTTACCTGTAGTATTTTTTTGTGCCTTTTAAAAGTATAAACAGCTACAGTTTAGTACCTGTTCACTGAATTTCGACTGCTCAGCAAAAATAGTGCAAAAACTGTCTTTGTAGGGTACAGCTGTAGCTGGTGGCTAGCCCCCTGCGTGGTATTAGCACAGATTGCAGTGACAGTGTGTCATGAGCATGCTGCGGTCTGCTCACCAGAGCCCAGCGATCATTAGCCCTCCCACTCGCGTCTCGGGCTTCCTACTAACAAGCACCCAGACATTTGGAAGGAAAGTGAGCACCGTAAACCTTGTTGAGTGTGCCCAGGTATTATTCTAGGATTCTTAAGTGAGCTACCTTTGCACTTGATTGCTGTAGGTTCTTAACAGTATAACTAAGATACCATGATTGACACGTTTGACATGGAATTAGATCAAGTGCTCATAACAGCAGGATTTTTGTGAGAATTTGTGATGCTGAGCATGTGCCTTTGGAATAAGCTGGAATGGTCACGGTTCATTTCATCAAATTCCGTTTTGGTTGTCTGGACATTCCACAGTGCAGAATTTCCCAGTTCACTGAATAACTTGAACACAGAGTAAAGATTGTCCAGTAGCGGCGAGAAGTTCTCCACTCTGATAGGCTGTTTTGTTTTTTCCTGCTTGAACATGGAGACTAAAGGCACTAAAGTGTACATGCTAGTTTGCTTTTTACACAAGTTGTGTACATTTTGTTGAGTTTGTTTTGAGGGGAAGGGGGGCTCTGATGACGAGGGACGGAATAGAGTGCGAAAGCTTGTTCGTTGTTCAGTCAACAGAGATATAGTGCTGCATTTTTATGGGTGATTTAGAACTAAGAACTTGAAGAGAGCCTCAGTTCATTAGCAGTAATGTTGGTTTCATTTACACGTTTTTTTCTACAATATCTTCAATAGTGGCCAAAAAAGGTTAATATATGTAAATTGTAGAACTCAGCGGTTACAACAGTTCACAGATATGAGAGGTTTCATTACAAGTGGCAGACATCGGGGTCTGAACCCTGTCCTCCTAAGATTAAGATTAAGTGACCCTTATTAGTCCCGCAACGGGAATTTCACCTCCGCATTTTAACCCATCCATGCAGTGAAACACCACATACGCACTAGTGAACACACACACTAGGGGGCAGTGAGCACACTTCCCCGGAGCGGTGGACAGCCCTATCCACATCGCCTGGGGAGCAGCTGGGGGTTAGGTGTCTTGATCAAGCCAGTACAACATATGATGGGTAGTTGTTTTAGCATTTAAAGATTTCAAATTTGAAAACACTGACTTTGGTGTCATGAACAGATTGTAACAAAAAGTCATGATTGCTAGAAAGCTAAAACTTTTACGTAGTGGTTGAAGTCTGACAAAATAGTTCTACATAGATTATTCCATTAAGTCTCAGTGCAATATAATTTTTATTTTAAATGAATGATGCTACAGTGGATTGGTTTCCTCACTGCTCGTGAGTTTTCATGTCAGACAAAGGTTTCATAATGGCAGGTTTGTAGTATGGAACGCAGAGATCCGCTGGTCTAGCTGTGAAAGTCCTAAATAAGCTCTGTGATGGAGGCAGTTTTTCCACAGTGCTGGACTCTCAGCCTCTGTGCTGCTGTCACCACCAGGCCATCAGGCTTCTGAAGCCCTCTTCAAAATAGCCCGGCAGGTCATGGCACTGACACAAGCTCGCATGTGGGAAAACTTACTGGGTGGGGGGATTTATCACAAAGACCACACTCACATGTGGCCCTCTGGTAGGAAGTGCGATTGGTGGTTAGGTGATTTGTTTGTGGTCTGATGCCTTTTTTCAAGCGAAGTTGAAACCTCTTACTGTTAAAGCACCACTTTGAATGTGAAAGTACTGTAACCCCTCTGAGTAAACTAAGCTCACCAATCAGGTTTTGAGATTTACATAAATGTGGCCTGCGCAAAGGTTCTGGTATTTTAATTTATATTTAGTTGTATTTTTCTCCTCCAATGTTACTTGGCTAAAACTTACTTGCAGTAAAATATCATCCTGTAGAAGATGTGTAAATTTATTTTCGAGTGTAAAATCAACAAAATATTTAATTTTGAGGGTTGTTCAAACCTGTGCATGTGGTTATACATGCCTTTTAGAGTTTAAGCAGGGGTGTTGAGCACTCACAGTAATTAAAGGATATCTTAAGCTTTTTTTTTAATTGACAATTAGAGGAATTAGAGGAACTGGGCTGCTCCCCAGGCTACTGTGATGTGAAAATATGAATTGCTGTATGGTTTTTGTATTTCTGTAGAAAAGCTAATCTTTCCTTTCCTCTCCAGACGTTCAAAAGAGACGGCAATGACTTGCACATGACCCATAAGATCGGCCTCGTCGAAGCACTTTGTGGATTTCAGTTCACTCTGAAACATTTGGATGGCAGACAGATTGTGGTGAAGTATCCAGCTGGCAAAGTCATCGAGCCAGGTGGGTCATCTTCAGACCCCTTCAGGGTTCTTTGGTGATGGTCTCTAAGCCTGTTGATGTGGGGGTTAAGTGTCGTGTGCCTTGCAGGTTCCCTCAGAGTTGTGAGAGGGGAGGGCATGCCACAGTACCGGAACCCCTTCGAGAAGGGCGACCTGTTCGTCAAGTTTGACGTGCAATTCCCAGACAACAACTGGATCAGCCTGGATAAACTAGCAGTGAGTTCAAGAAAATTCTGGTGTGTGTCTGTGTCTGTTGGCCTTTTCCAACAAACCTGAGCTGAGAGGGCTGCTTTGTTGTAAAGTGGCCCAGAGATGTGAGGCCACTGTTTTATGTTCTGTAAAATTAGAAGGTAAAAGTCGACGTGGTACAGTCCGGTGCTCTAAGGCCAGTTTCCCAGACACCGATTAAGCCTAGTGTTGGACATCGCAGTTCTAATGGTGGCTCACCTTTTAGAAATTTTTAGTCTAGACTTAGGCTTAATCTGGGTCTGGGAAACAGGCCCAAAGTCTTAGAGCCTTAATCCAGCCTGAAAGTTTGACCCATACCTGAATATAGCTAGAACATCCCTGTCCACGTCTGGCTTAATCCACAGCCCCAAATTCTGAATCCAACCCAGACTGTAGTCTGACAAAACTGTCCCTAACAGACAGAATAAGTGTGCATTTCTGATTTTAGTTACCTTGAAGCACCTTATTTAGTCAGATCATTCTAAAATACAGTAAAATGAACAGCCTAGTGATCAGCTTTCTAAAATAAAGTTTATATTTCTGTTTTAACAAATGTATTCATTAATCATGACCTTCAAACAACATCTCAGAACGCAATATAATGTGCTGTACTCATGCTGGCCTCTGGGAACCTCTCCTAAAACACAGTTGATAAATGTGGCAGATTTGCCCAGGGGATCCTTAGCCTACAGGTTTACTACCTAATTTTCCTACTTTATTCCCATGAATTTGCAGACTGTTTTGCTAATGTGTCTTCAAGACTAATATATCACTGCTGTCGGATCAAAACCCTGTATCTCCAAAATGGTAACTTTACAGGAGAAGGAAAAAACCTACTTTTACTTTTAATAGAACCAGAATTTTTTCCATGTCATTCTGAGCCAATTCTTTTGGCCCATTCATCATGAAATTTACACACAATGTAAAGAGCAACAGGCAATTTACAATAACGTCAAACTGAAAAATGGAGATACAAGGTTTTGTTCTGAGAGCAGGGATATGTAAACTACATCTGGGTGTCCCGTGCTGTGCTTCATCCCTAAAGCAGTCTGGGTTGAATGGGTGGAGCAGAACTGCTGAGGGCTAAATAGACTGGTTATATGTAAATGTGTTGGTTTATGTGACGTTACAGAAATGGTGAATTTAAAACGGGTTTTTTGCAGCTTACTTTCCATATATGGAGTGGAGAGTGAACGGCTTTTGAAACGTATTTCATAAATTAATTTTTATGAAATGAGTTTTTGGTGATGTGGGCCAGTTAAAGTAATAAAAGTGAGGGCTGAATAATAAAAGTGGGAGGGAAAAACAGGATAAATTCAGGCTAAAATTGGTTAAGGTGGACTGAATTCTGGTCCCTGTTGGGTTCGGACAGATACTTCAAGCCCTGATCTTTTTCTCCGTCTGCAGGAACTGGAGGATTTGCTGCCTACGCGTTCTGAGGCTCCTGTCGTGACCGGAGACACAGAGGAGGTGGACCTGCAGGACTTCGATATAAGCCAGAGCTCGTCTGGTGGCCACCGCCGCGAAGCTTACAACGACAGCTCTGATGACGAGGGCGGTCATCACGGCCCTGGGGTGCAGTGTGCCCACCAGTAAGCCCGACCATACCAACCTGTCCGGCTCCAGCAAAGGAGACAAAAATGTTCTAGTTGCACAACATCACAGCAAAGGTGTTGTTTTTTTCTTCTGATCTGATTGGGGTCTGCCTTAAACAGTGAGAAATTACACGACCTATGATCAGCTGCCTTCCCTGTAGTGAACGCACACATGAGCCCACCTTTACTCCCCTCTCCTCCCCCACACCCTCCCATTTAGTCTCCTTACACAGGCAACCCCACATCAGACGGGGAGAAAAAAGGTAATTTCTTTTACTTGGTGTGTATCTTTTTGCATTTGTTTGTTGTCATTGTATTTAGAATTAATTTAAAACTAACCACGACATGCAGTTTTGGCCTCGGACTTGAGCCCCTTTTATTTGAGAAGAGCAAGTGGGTGAGAAAACGAGAGTAAAAGAGGTCCTTTGGAATAAAAAAAAGAAAAGAGGAAAAAACACCTTTGGGACATTTATGAACATCATTTTAGGTTTGTATGTATCTGTGCTTGATTTTTACCACTGTAGATTTTTACTTTTTTTTTTTCTGTCTATTATATTTTAAATTTGGAACAAGAGACAACAACATTGTGTATAAAATTAAAGTGATTATCATTTAAGCTTTATCAGCTGCTCTTGAAGTAAAATCAGTTGCCTGTATCTGTTTTCAGCCCAGGTGCATGTTGGGAACGCTTTGTCCCTGCACTCATATAAACATCTACATACAAAAGGAGTGAAATTATATACTGAAACAAGCAAGAAATAAAAGGAAAGCAGCTGTAGGTATATAACTTCTGTGAAAAAAAAAAAAAGTTTATGAAGTTGTTAAATAAAACCTTCAGTATCTTCAAAAGCAGTTTAACCTTTTTCCTTTAAAGCACCTCCATCACTTGGCTTAACACTCAGAATTTCCAGAGAAAGGACCGACAAGCTGCATGAACCAGAGTGAATGGAGAGAACGGCTGGGTAATTCACCACAGGATTGAAATAAAAATAGAAATGTATGAAAAATACCCGTTCTTCATAACTGTGATGCAGTATACCCCAAAAGACCGCATGCTGAATTTCAAAAGTCAAATATATTATAAAATTTAATAAATATTTATCAGTATTACAAGAACATGAAGGAAACTACTACAAGAATGGATTAAAAAAAAAAAGAAAAATAACCTTAACAGGTTATCAGATTCACACAAACACCGCCTCACACCCAGTGGCCCTCTTTCCCCTCCAAGACTGGGTCAAAGCGGTTATATGGTTTGCAGATTAGATGTAAAATAAACAGTCTACACACTTAATGATGGTTCTTCATAGTTCTTTAGTAAAGAAAATAGTGCTATATAGAACCATGAACATTCAAAGAACCCTTTGCATGAATTGAGTTCTTTGCATCACGAAAATGTTGTAGATGGTTCTATATAGCACCAAAAAGGGTTCTTCTATTATCACAAGCTTGACATAACAATAGAAGAACCCTTTTGCTATATAGCTATATAGAAACATCAACACTTTCACCATGCGACAAACCTTTTAATCATGCAGAGAGTTGTTTACATTCATGGTTCTCTACAGCACCATTTTCTTTACTAAAGAACCCTTGAAGTACAGTGATTTAAGAGTCCACAGATCAAAACTGTGACGCAGACCTGGACTGGTTCACAAACTACTGAAACAGTGTAGTTGGAGAGATTCAGTCAATAAAGATGGTATCCGTCGCGTGCATCAATGACATCATCAATAGTCGCTTTGAGATAGACCCAAAACCTGATTGGTCACCTTTCACTCACTTAGACGATGATGGAAATACCCGGTTCCAACTCCTGTACCGTTTGGCCGCCACCATGTCCGGTAGGATAGACTGGAAAGGGGCAGAAACAAGTCCTTATCTCATGTAACAGCTTCTTTCTCAAGGAGCACCACAGAGAGAACAGCCAAAGAACTGTTATTCCTGTGTACAAGAAGTTCATTCTTCAAATATTCTGTATTTAATAGATTCAGATTTGATTGTGAGATAATCTACATGCCTTCAGATCAGTTTAGCACACCAAACATTCACCCTCAGTGTATTCTAGGACACCTAGGCACTGTATGAAGCATACAAATGAGCTCTGTTCTGATTGGCTGTCCTGCCCTGTGCTTCATTCAAAAAGGGATCCAGGCTGAAGCACACTTTATAGCTTCGGTTTGAGTGGGCAGGGCTAATCTGCTGTAGGCAGAATCCACAAATACATGGGAGTTGAATTCTGAATTCAAAACAGTGGTTAGTTTCCATGTCTGGACTCAGGAGTGAAAGCTAAGGTCTGGAACTTTTTCGGGGTGGGGGTACTTAGTTTTACATAAAATGAGGCCTGTAACTGAGTTAAAGGGCCTGTGATGACCCGGTTTGAATAGCATGCACAGCAACAGTACTTCAATTCCAATATTGTTTTCAAAATCAAAGTGAACAGCAAGCAGCCCACAGCTGAACGAGACTGCGTTTCTCCAACTCCGATGTGCAGAAAATATACATAAATATAACATAAAAGGCTCCACACAGACATTCTAGACACCACAGCCAGACATAAAACATACAAATAGAGAAAAGAAAAAAAAATAAAATATATATATATATACACATATACACACACACACACACACACACACACACAAGAATATTGCACATTGTATAGATAACAAATGTTCTCAGTGACTGAGCACTTTATCACTATTCACAAGTGTCAACTTTACATTTCCTGTTAGACTGCATTAATACAGTGATCAGAACATCATAAATATCGTGCAGAAAAACTGCATTTTTCTACAGAAGACTGAGTTCTAATAGTGTTCAGACTGTCTGTGTGTGTTTTACAGCATTCATGCACGTGTTGTCCAAATACAGTTGGTTGATGTACATTTTCATACATGTGTAGTCTACATCAGGTTTCCAGTTCTGAGCAGTTCATCTGAGGTCCATTCATAAAGTTGGTGGCTTTATAAAACAAAGTCATTTTCATAACCATTTTCCAACCTTCTTTTATCCCTCAGAATTAAACACATATGTAAATGATCCCTGCTCTGATTGGCTGCCCTGTATTGCACCCTGTTCAAAAAGCAGGTCGGGCTGCAGCAATTAAACGTCAGTATGAGTGGGAGGAACTGCTGTTGGCTGGAAAGGTGGACAGATGTAATGGAAACATATTTACATTACAAAACACATAATTAACAGCTTCATTTCTATATATGGACTGTAAGACTTTAAGCATGTTTACATATTATTCCAAACATGAAAAGGTTTGGTTCAAAGCTCTTTAGAATGTTTTGATACCATCAGAAGAGGAAGCTTTAGTGTCCAGTGTGTTAAAGGAAGTCATGTGTGTTCTGCTAGTAAGTTGAATCTATTTGCATCAGCAGCAGAAACAGCGTTAAAGTTTCTCAGGCAATGCAGCGCAGCAAGTTCTGATATTGAAGCAGAGTCTGCTGTAAATGAGGGATGTTCAGGCAATCAGATGAAAACAGGTATGACTTAAAATCAGTGAACGCAAACAGTTTTAAATTGTGTAAATATTTATTTATATTAGAAAATACTATTTAAAACCATCAGCGTTCTTCGAACTGCGCCACATCATTGAGTGTTGTTCATCTTAACCTTGTTGAACAGGTAGTCCATCAGCTCCTGAAAGCCACACATTTAATACAAAACCTTTTAAAAAGGGGAATTACATTACATTAACAGTGGTGGTGATAGGAACCAGACGTCCACCTCTAAAGCTCCCTCACAGAACGTTATCGCATTAAATGGTTGTGAATGTCGCCTGAGACAGTTTTCCGATTGTTTTGAGAAGCTTTTGGCCTTTTAAATCTGTTGGTGGTAAAGAAGTACATGCAGGACATTGTAAGCCCTGAAAGAAAACCGATGCATCACTAATTCACCATCATTTATAAAATATATACAAACAAGATTCACTAGGGTTTTGGATAGTAAATAAAATGTCTATTTGTGTTGTAGTCACGGCGACCCCTGGTTCCTATCACCACCACTGTAAAGACATCAGTAAGTTTCTCTGCACTGAACTGATTCTCACATCAGCCCACTGACCGTTTACATCAGCGACTGACTTAAGCAGAAGAACTTTTCTGAAAAAGGAATTTCCTCTTAAAGAGTGTCAGCATTTGTTTTTCAGCTTTACACCACTGACCTTTATCTTCTGCATCTGACACAACGCCAAGTCATCCAGAAGTTCAAGTCTGACTGCATCTTTATTCTCCTCTGACAGAAGCAGCGTCTAGCAGAGGGACAGAACAGACAGACTGGGTGATGTTCTTATTTCTCTAAGGAATCTCAGCGGCAGCTGTGTTTACCTCCCCAAGAGACGTGGTGATCATGGCTGTAGCGTTTCCAGAGAGGTCTTCACTGAGTGAGCGGCTCTTTAATCTGCAATAAATGTGAAACGGGACCTGAAATAAGACACCGACATAAAGTCTCTATCCTGTACTGCTGGAGACCTCACCGCACCTCGCTTTCCAACCAGACACCAGCGCCTGGTCACTGAGTTTGACCACTCGGCCGTTAGTTCTTGTCGTGCTGATAGTCGAGGCACTTCTGGCAAAGAGAAACATTTACAGGCAATGAAAAAGACATTTACTGAAATGAGATTACAGAGTCAGTTGGTTTAAAAGTCTCCTTGCATATGTAAAAAAGGGGAGGAGCAACAACAACAACATGTCACATAGAAATTTGCCAAACCTACATTACCTGAGGCTTCCTGTGCTGTTACTGGACTGCATTTTCTTCTTGGTTCGTCTCTGTAAACAGAGAATGAGTCAGAAATAGTTCTACAGATGAACTAACGGACTAGTTGGGATGGTGTGTACCTTGGTGCCGTCATCTGTCTTGATCTGACCGGTAGATTTCGGCTGTGCTGCCGAGTTACTGGCCTTGCCTGAGAGAGCGAGAGAGAGAGCGAGTACAGTGGATGTTCACATCGCTCTGCCTGTAGAGATCAGGGTCCCCCTGGATGGGTCTTTCACAAAGCAGAACCTCTCCGTTTAGCTGGATAACAACCCAGTAATGCCCATATTTGGAATTTCTCTTTTATTCTGGCCCATATGTTTGTTCTTTGAGCTCAAATCTGGAAGTTTCCCACCCCCAAATATATCAAACGAAGTCAGTGACTCAGAGGAAAGAGATCAGTCCTAATGACTACATTACAGATTAGCACACAGACAGAAGAATTCAGATTTGTGGGATGAAGCCTGTTAATCCAGGATATAACTACACAAACTTTCATCACATCAGACCATTCAGAACAAGTTCTCCAACTTCCACCCCTAATCATGATAAATATACTCAAAGGACATCAAATGAACATTGACAGTTTAAGACATCTACATAATTCATCCATTAAGATGTAAACAAAGTCATTCAGAGTGGTTTGGTGTGACACTATAGAGCAAATTACCAACTCAACTTTTGATAGTTTGCTTAAAAGGGGTACTCCACCAATTTTCCAAATTTAATTTAATTCCCTGACAAAATAATTCAGAGTTGAAGTTAACTTCTCATTCTAGAAAAAACTTGCTGACTCAAATGTCTTTACAGTGGTGGTGATGGGAACCAGGGGTCACCATGACTACAACACAAACAGACATTTTATTTACTACCCAGAACCACCAGTGAACCGACACGAGTCTGAGTTTAAGTAATGTAGATAAATAACGGTAAATCTGATTAGGTGTTCTTCGGGCAGCGTCTCACTCTTATACCAACACTTTATCCCACCCCACTTCATAAAACACTTTCAGGCATCAGAAGTTCAAAACCCATTTTCTGCAAATCTGTGGTTTAGCTTTATAATGAATTAAGCAGTTTTGCTGTCTGGTTCCCATCATCACCACTGTGAACAACTGACTGTAGAACAGAGCTTAGAACATTTCACATCAAACCATCAACGACTTCACATCTTAACCATTAATTACGCAGAACATTTGGAGATTTCCCTTCTTTAACCGGAGCAGTTTAACCGTGAGATTAAGTTAACCAGCTAATCTGAGAACTCCTGCTTTGATTCCCTTCAAGGCCTTTAAGAGGTTAAATTGGGGTGGTAGTGCATGAAGGAGAACCCAGGAGCAGAATTTGGGGAAACTGGTTTGCTCACCTTTTTTGCTGGGTTTCCTGCTAAGAGGCCTGCTGATCTCTGGAGAGGCAGACTGCAGAAATAAACAGGTGAGAACACAACTTCATGGGTTCTTTAGTAAAGGGAATGGCTCCATCTAGAACCATTTCATGCTTAAATAGTTCTTAGCATGGTGAAAAGTTTCTTCAGACTGATGGAGAACGTGTTGTACATGAAAATGGTTCTAGATGCAGAACCAAAAAGTTACTGTTACATGTTTGACATTGTTACAATAACAGAACCCTTTTTGGTGATATCTAGAACCGTTTTCAAAAAGGTTTTACATATAGAACCATCTACAAACACATTCTCCAAAGAACAATTTAAGCAAGAATTGGTTCTATATAGAACACTAGTGCTAACCAAAACAACTGCCTTTACTAAAGAACCCTTGAAGAACCATCTTTAGGTGTATACAGCTGCTTCATCTGACCCAAAAATATCTAGAACTTAGCCTGCTTATCTTTAGAGAGGCAGACTGTAGAAATAAACAGGCGAGTAAAAACAACTTCATGGGTTCCTTAGTAAAGGGAACGGTTCTATATAAAACCATTTCATGCTTAAATGGTTCTCTGCATGGTGAAATGGTTCTTCAGACTGATGTAGACTATATTTGTACATGAAAAGCGTTCTAGATATAGCACCAAAAAGGTTCTTCTACTGTTACAAGTTTGACATTGTAACAATAACAGCATCCTCTTTGGCATTATATAGAACCATATACAACACGTTCTCCATCAGTCCGAAGAACCATTTTACCATGCAAAGAACCAGGAATTGGTTCTATAACGAACAAAAAGGGCTAACCAGCTTTGTTGCCTTTAGTAAAGAACCAGTGAAGAACCATCTTTAGGAGTATTCAACTGCTTCAAGTGACCCAAAAATATCTAGAACTCACCGCGATGGCCATGGTGACCTCCCCAACTGAGGACTCTTGGGCTGAAAGACATGCTTACGATCACGATCAGCTTCTTAACGCTTTTAAAAGAGAACAGAACCTGGAGAACCCGGAGAACCTACCATTCATCAGGTCTTTGATCAGCGTGGTGTGGAGGGACTGGGGCAGCTTCATCATCTCGATCTTGAACGTTCTGTCCACGGTCGACAGCAGTTTGTCCAGCTTGGCCTCCATCTCGTTGACCCGTTCCTGCGCTGTTTGAAAACGGCGGAATGTTGACCAGGTTCAGCTTTACTGAACATAAAGTTCAGGACTTCAACACAAACATCAGACCTTCCTTCTCAAACTGCTGGATGAAGAGCTCCTTCCTTTTCCTCAGCTTGTCCACTCCATGCTGGCCTTCAGGCTGACCGACAGAAGCGTGACTAACTTTCCGAGTTTTTCGTGCGGCCATGATACCAAACCCTCCCCTCCTTCACCGGGTCCGCCACCGCCTTATGGTGGGAACCATATAGATGATCTTGATTACCAACACCTGCTGACCTGGACTGTTTTACCTACCCTCAACATGTTCAGATGTCAGAGGCTTTAATTCCTGCATTCTGGTGTTTATTTATGTATGTTTTTGTGTATAAAATAACAACAACAACAACAACAACAACAATATTATTATTATTATTATTATTATTATTATTATAAGCTATTTTATGTTAATCGATTGTCGCATCTCAGGTTCTCAAGGGGGCGTGGTCACGTCATGTGTTCATTAGGGGCGTGGCCACGTTATTGAACTGTTGTCAGGGGCCGTTATATCCCCCCTCCTCCCCCTCCTCTATACTAGATTCCTGCAGAACGCTAGAGGGCGCCCACGATCCAGTCCTCAGTGAATGGTAGTGAATGGAGCTTCACGGCTGAAAACAAAGAATTTAACATGTTTCTAGCCTTTTATATAAGAACCTCCTCTAACGTTTTGATCAGTTTGACCATAGATATCCATTCCTAGATGCCGCGCTGTCTGTTGTTTTCTATCTGAGGTGATGCGTCTGCGAGTCCGCCATGTTGGAGCGGTCAAGATCCGCTTGTGAACAGATTCACTTGTATTGAGAGACGAAGAGTCTCAGGATTAAATCAGCCACAACTTCCTTATTACTCAACCGATTTACACCAAATCTGTTTGTTATAAAATCCTCAGCACAGATTAATCCAGGCTGCACGGATCTGCTCTCGGTAGATTTTATTACTTTAATAACTGATCGTGATAATTAGCCGTCCGGACCAGCATTAAAGTATTCAGTCTGCACCTGACGTTAAAAACCGAGTTTAGCATGAGAAACACAATCAGACACATCAGCAAATCCATCAGTGTGTGAATCACTTCTACTCTTAATACACAGAACAATAAAATAAACCCCCAAAACACAGTATTTGCCACTTTTCGCCAGCTTCTTCTTCGAGTTTTCCCGTTCCAGCCTAAATGGTGCAGCTGTCACTTTCTGGTACCTGAAGCTGCACCATTTAAGGTGGTGGAACGGGAAAATTCGAAGAAGAAGCTGGCGAATAAGAGTCTGACTCCAGGTTCTTGTAAGAAGGTTCTAACGTTACTCTATTATGAATATCTACTCGGATTAAGGAATGCTATAATTTACTGCTACAAAGCTTTAACCATCACTGTAAATAAATAACTACTACATAAAGTTAAGATCCTGAATAGACTATTAAATGAAATAAGCTTAATATAAAACCAGAGGAAAAACAATCACATCAACAGGTTCTCTGTGCCTCATTAACCACACGACCATATCTACATAAACATCACACAGACATGAGTGTGAATCACTGCGTTCCCTCCGTTATATAATCCTATCACACTTTCCGAGTATGATATTCCTGAAACAGTGTAATTTTGGACAGTATCTTTCTTAAACTGCTCGAATCTGTAACAACAGAAAAAACAGAAAATTTGGACAAAGTAAAAAAAAAAACAACAAAACAGCAAAGTTGGCCAATGTGCAGCTGAGACTGCTCTCAGTTCAGGTTGCAGTAGGGTGAATAAATGACGAGTGAACGTTGCCAAGAGTAACACAGTATTTTGTTCTTTATATTTATTTAGACTGTTATAATTGCAGGGACAAATAAATCATGATTAATAAATAAATAAATAAATAATGCATCAATAAATACATCTTAATCAATACATATTTTTATAAAAAGTTTATTAGCATTCTTATGTTTAAAAAACACATGCAGTCTTATTTTTAATTAAAATATTTTAAATAGTGCCGTTTTCCTTAATCATGGAGGAACTGTGTAAAGTTTGGCTCAGACCATTTCTTTAATAGTATCGCAGTATAGACTAAAGAGAGGCAAGTCTGGGTATAAATGATTTTCTTTAATTTGAACTTTCTTACCTGTTTTTTAATACTCTCTTTATTTTCTGCAACTTTATTTAACGGCATTTAGTCAAAATGACCACCAGGTGGCAGCAATTACAGCCATTAGTGTCAGTAACTTGGACGGGACTTACTCCTACATGCACTCTACTCTAATGAATGGACTTTGATGAGCTCTGTTGTTGACCTACTGTTCAGTGTGGCAGTATGCGGTTTGGGACACAGCCTTACTGTGGCCTTGGAAGTCTGAAACTACGGCTGAATCTCAAATGGCTCCCTACTTATGTAGGAGTTGAAGTACTGGCTCCTGCACCCAGTCAGGGGTGGATTAGTTGTTCTGGGGCTCTGGGCCAAAGACGGGAATGGGGCCCCTGGACGAACATTCTTAGATTATTATATGGCTCTGGGCTCACGAGAGGCACAATCGCTGCAAAAGCTGACAAGTGAATCCTAAATCTAGTCAATACGTCTAATATTTCTCATTCTGAGATTCTAGACATTCTAGACATTTTTACTATTTTACTGATTTTATTAACTAAAATTTTCTCACTATATTTGCAGATACCTGAAACATTATCCGTCAATATAGTGAGATAATCTTAAAAAAACATGTAATATAATTATAAAACATAATTTAATACGAGTGTTAATTATCTTGTAAACCTTATTTATGTCTTAATAATGTTGATGTTTATGGTTTATTAATGTTAATAAATGTAGTAATTAATTTTCAGCAAAGCATTACCAAAACAATTACAGCAAAAGAAGAAAGAAAGTAGGAAAGGAAATTCAAAAAACTTGAACTCTTAATTTATAAGACAGGGACCGCAAACATCTAGACGATGAAACGTTCATTACACAATTAAATATCTAATGTTGTAATTTCTACAATAAAACTGAACTGCTTTCCCAATTATTTCCATAAACATTTTAAGTTTGTCCTTTATTATTATTTACATACAAATTACCCATAGATTTGCAATAAACCTACAAAACAGAATATCAATACAATGTTTAATAATCTTTTCCTGTCCAGTTTAATAAATGTGTGGTCTAGTTCAGCACCTTAAATAGAATGTGAGACATCAGCCAATCAGGGAGTTCCAGCGATATTAAGATTAGTCTCCCATAAGGAGAATATATATATTTCAAATATATTTATGAAATATATTTTTGCAATATATGAAAAAGGCCAAATGTAATTAATAAAGGTTAAAGATGTAACTAAATGAACTGAATGGATGGTACTGACCACTGTGTTTTGCATTGTACTTTGCATTAAGACATTCACACAAAATGTATGGCAAATAAAAAAGATATCAAATCATCAAACTACATTTTCACAGAGTATCAATATCTACAACACCTGCTTTTGTCCAGTTAAAGGTCCGTTTACCAACATTTATAATTACGATACTGGAGCACAAATTCACTTCAAAAGATACAAATTCACTTCATGTTGTCGCTCATTGGCGGCCGCTGATAAAAGTGGCCGTGATGTTGCTGCCCGGCATGCAGAGGTCCAACTCCTACTGGAACTTTTACCTCAAAATGACCGTAAATAATCGCTACAATCGCAAATAACAGCTATTTTTAAAATGTATATATATGTATTTTGGAATTAATTATTTAACATTACCACTTAAGAGTTTATCTAGAGTTTATCTAGTGTGCATTTAGTGTGCCCTTGGCTGATAGGGGTCCTAGGCGGCTGCTCACCTTTGCTTAGTGTAGGGAGTCAAACTCAACCACTAAAAGTGTCAAGTTAAAAAATCTGGACAAATCTGTGGGCCAGAGAACGCCTCTGTTTTTATTTGGATGTTAATACCAGTTTGATGTAGCCCTACATGTGTGTGTGTGTGTGTGTGTGTATATATATATATACACCCTGAATTGTTACTATCACTCCTAAATAAACACAAGATTCCACTTTTAACACAATAAACAAAAATACTGAATGACCGTGTTTTGTAATGCAGACGTCTATTACACTACTCAAAGCACTCCAGATTACCGGACACTAAACTTCACACATCTCTGAATGTGTGTGTGGAAATAAATATCTACTATTTCCTTTTTTTTCCTTTTCACTAAAGGGGCGTCTAGAAGGACATTCACCCTAAACCATTTCTGACATAAATACAGGATCAATCAGAGTCATTGCTTCCTTTGTTCTGAGGTGCTGAGCGTCCATCTCACCAGCTGATATGTTTGTCTTTATTTATGACAAAATAAAAAGAAAACATAAAAGTAAACGTGGTGACACACCTGCTTTTACACAGCTACAGCACCTGTACACTTAAAACAGATGGGTCTTCAAGGGTTCTTTAGTAAAGAAAATGGTTCTAAATGGAACTATAAACACACCGAGAACCTTTTGCATGATCAAAAGGGTCCTTTGGATCATAACGGTTCTTCAGATTGATGGAGAACATGCTGTAGATTGTTCTATACAGCACCAAAGAGGTTCATCTTTTGTTACAAGCTTGACATCGCCACAATAAAAGAACACTCTCTGGGGTGATGGAGCTCCATCAAGTACCTTTGGGATGAGTTGGAGTGACCCAGAACTGACCATCCAACAACAGTACCTGACCTCACTGATGCTCACTCAAATCCTCACAGCAATGTTCAACATCTAGTGTAAAGCCTCCCCAGAAGAGTAGAGGCTGTTACTGCAGCAAAAGGGGGGGCAAACTTTGTGCAAGTAGGATATTGTGGACATAATGAATGACAGTGTCATACGTTCATAATCATTTCATTCACTTTAATAAAATGGATTAAGCAAAGACTTAAATATTTAACAATATTTACATAAAACTGTTTTGGGTTTAATTTTGAAAACTTGCCATAGATTAGCAAAGGAAACTGGTAGAATTGGTGTTGATTTACCAAAAACAAATTAATAATAATAATAATAATAATAATAATAATAATAATAATAATAATTATTAAAAATGAACTCTACTAAAGGCACCTCAGTAGCCTGTAGACAAACGCTGGAAAAAAAATGGTTGAGTTAAAACAATTGGATTTTTTTTTCAAATTCATTCAGTATTTATTAATTACAAAAAATAAAAACAAAGCATTGTAAACAGTGACAGATGAAAGTAACAGAACCTTGTAAAAGTAAAAGAAACTGTTTGGCACGATACAATAACAGGAGAAAGGAGGTAACTTCATAATTCTCCTTATGAATAACCACGTCGAGGAGTGACCGGCGCCAATAAAACCACTGTGAAAAAGTTCCCATTGAAACAGATTCGGAGTTTTCTAGGACACCAAATTCATTCCTCAAACAGGACTCTTTACAAACTGTTGTGCGTTTTGAGCGGAACACCGTGGAAAACTTTCACAGCCGTGCTCTGCTGCCTTTCGCCTCGGTTCAGCAGAGACACAGTGAGGTGGATTACAGCTCCTGCTGTTAATACGTCCGTACAGGGGTCCTTCATCCCAGATAGCAAGAAGACAGTGGGCCACTGCTGGCCTGCCGACGGCCCACGGGCGAGTATTAGACAAAAAAACTGTCTGAAGAGATTAGAAACTAGTTAGACCTCTCATGCAGGACAATAATCTGGGTGGTCCGAGCAGTGAGATCCCAACCCTTTTCGAGTGGACCAGTACATGCTTGCTATCTGGGATTCTGCATAAATTCAGTCCAAAATGCTGATGTTGCTAACAATAAATAACAAACCAGCCACCACTTAGCATAACACAGAGCATGTTATACTAACTGGCCGCTAGCTTCTTTAGCCACGTTAGCAAGCTATCTCACTAAAACTACAGCTGTACTGACTGCAGCCGTCATTAAAGCTAATCACGTCCCCACATCAATAAGGGAGGCCAAAGAGAAGAAGCAGAGCTAATTCGTTCTTCATTATCTTAACAGCATCTTCACAAAAAATAACTTTTTAAGCACCAAATTCTAAAAACAGCCTCTAGATAAAACACTTTTCACTGCAGTGAAAAGCCTCTGAATTTACAGTAACATTAGTTCCCAAAAATAATGCCGCATCAACAGATTCTCTGGGAAGTGCAAAACTTTCAGACTTTAAGTAACGACAGAGCCATTTTAGAGCTCTGATTAAGTCACATTATACGTTTAGGGACAATTTCCTGAATGGGCTGTGCGTTCGGATGCGATGTGAGCGGTGGGCTGCGCGTGAAGACCCTTCTGTGTTCCTGTGCAGCTCACAGTGAACGATGAGGGAAAATAAGACTTTAAAAAAACAGAATAAACAGAACGTCCTGCTCTCGCAGACAAGCCCCGCAACGAAGGGGCTTCTGAACATTCATGCTTTAGTGTTGTAGCTTAAACTGACCCCATCCCTTTTTCTTTAGAACGACATTTCAAAAAAGGCACAAATAGAACAGTTCCAGAAATCGCTGAACAGAAAAGCCCCTTCCGACCTGCTGATCTGAACAAAAAATACTAAATAATAAATCGACGCTACTTAACACTACTGTTACTGTGGGGTTAGCGTGTTAAGTGATGTTCTAGCATGTCCAGTCTGGCCTCTTCAGGCCTGCACTCGGCACTGAGGCTCTTCCAGAGCGGAATACTCCTTCAGGAACTTGATGTGGAAATCTCGCACTTTCTCCAGGAGCACCTTCAGCTTCTCAGGAGACGGCAGGATAGTCATTCTGCAGCAAAACACACAGAAAGAGGCATCGGTCAAGCAGAAGCGCAAGGAAAGAAGAGATTTTATGGACGTGATGCTGTCAAAACCTCTCCAAAACAGTAAATTAACAGGAGAAGGAAAAACATACTTTCCTCTTAATGTAAGTCAATGGAACCAGAACCCCCCCCCCAGTCATTTTGAGCCTTTCATCATGAAATTTACACACAATGTAAAGAACAGACATTCAGTTTTGGCACAATTTGAAAAATGACAAAAATGGAGATAGGAGGTTTTGTTCTGACAGCAGTGATATATTCTATATTTATACTACAATAAGTGAAATGTAAGTTTCACTCAGAGTGGTCTGAGTGGTGCAGTGATTAACTGCTCTCATTACTGTACAGTGGTGGTGACAGAAACCAGGAATCATTGTCTACGACAAATACAGCCCTTTTTGTTTACCATCTAAAACCACCAGTAAACCCACAGGTGTCAGTTTCGATATGTAATGTTGACGGTAAAATAGTGATGAATCTACTGAAAAATAAATACTTTTTCTTAGAGGACTCGTTTTTTAACAATGCCCTGCTTCCACCTCTCAGCCACGAACTGTGCGAAAGATACATATTTTATCATTTCCTTACAATTTTCTGTATTATTTTCTTCCAATACGTTAAACTTAGCAAATAAAGAGATAAACAGAAATTGTGCACCACAACTAGCTAAAAATACCACATTTAAGTTCGTTTCCCGTAGAGGAACAAAACGTAATTTGATCAGATGTGTTCAAACCTGCGTTTGATTACGTGTGACTGAGGCCAAAATCTTCTCAAAACTATCCTTAAACAGTGTCTCAGTCATCAGGCAGTGAATTCATAACCATTTCATGTAGTAACTTAGAGGTGGACGTCTGGTTCCTATCACCACCACTGTGAACAGTTCTGACTCGGTAAGTTTCTCTAGAACAGAGCGTTTCACACCAAACTCTGTTTAGCAAAAATCAGTGAAATTCCCTTTTAATGGAAATCACCAAATAAAGACAGGCAAAAAAAAAAAGACAACTAAACTAGTGTTTAAATGATCAGTGTAGATTTATGAACTATGATCTCATGTAATACTGAGCAGTGGCAGATCCAGCAGGTCAAAGGACCCTCAGGAGGAACTATAACAGTGCGTTCCGGCTGAAGCAGACGCTTGTTTGTCTTCTGGCTTCATCCTCTGCTTAAAATAACCAAACGAGTTTGTTTGCCTTCTCAACATTTTTTCCACCAACGTCAAGCTGCCGATGCTCGAGCTCCACTTCCTTCCAAAGAGGAGATGAAGTCTATGAACTGGTTTCTTAGCCAGGGATTAAACCTGGTCCTGAACTAAACTGCAGTGCCAGCGGTGATTCACTGACTCATTACAAGTCTTATTAGTGAGGACTGAGGACTAATCTTAGTCTGTTAAACCAAACGTGGCGTGACGTGATGAGTGAAACAGCTACTAACAGCTAAGCTGGTGTTTACAGAAACATGACTTCATCAAACCTGTTTAAAAAACATTTATTTGAATGATTTAAATTTACATGATCAAGATGAACAATCTGCCCTGCGATGGACTGGCGACCTGTCCAGGGTGTATCCTGCCTTCTGCCCAATGACAGCTGGGATAGGCTCCAGCACCCCACCGCGACCCAGAAGGATAAGCGGTTTAGATGATGTATGTATGTATGTATGTATGTATGTATGTATGTATGTATGTATGTAAGATGAACAATCCTCCTAACAGGCTCTGAATCCAGTCCGAGAGGTGGAGGATCCAGTTCTGGTTTGTTAAGCGCTCCAGTTGCTGTACAGGATCTGGTAAATGTAACCAGCTCGGTTCTCCTCCTTCACAGAACAGAGTTATTCATGGCTGCGTATTTCTAATTCTTCCTCTCCTTCAGAGCTCGTGAACATCCAAAACTAACCTTCCAGCCAGGCATTGTGTGACTACATAACCAGCTGGTGTTTGACTGCAATTTTTTGCACCACACCGAAAAACGTGGCACTGATTTCAGGACTTTAACTATTCCTGCTCACATGTTTGTGTTTCCTCCGCTTCAGTACAGTTTATAGAGGGATCTGTAATTAAGCTATAAATAAATCAGTGTTTAACTGGGGAAAAATACAAGAATGTGCAGAGCACGGAGTCCTAAGGATCGGCACTGGAGACAGCTTTAAACGGAAGGATAAACTAGAGGTAAACGTACCTGAAGTGGTAGGTGCCCTCCCTCTGGCCGAAGCCGCTTCCAGGAACAACGCAGATTCCCGTCTCCTCCAGGAGCCTGAGGCAGTACAGCATGTCTGGCTGCATTCCCAGAGCCTGCAAACAGCCACCAGAGTACACCAGATTACATCAGCTCAGTGAACCAGCAGCTTCGTACAGCAACTGACCACGGCCGTTACATCAAACCTGCAAACCCCTGGACAAAAACACCATTTCAGATTCCCTCAACATGCTGAGACAGCTCAGGGCCCAACCTTATCCACAAAGGGCCAGTCATGATCCAACCGAGCAGGAGCACATCTGGATCTACTTGTTTAGTGAACTGGTCACAGTCTTCTGATCAGTAGATCAGCAGTGTTTCTCCCATCATCAAACAGATCAATCGATGGTCATATAGCATGGTTATTGCTCTTGTTAGGTATAAATAAAATGTTTAATCTATTTACAGTTGTAAAGATGCATTACAGTCCAGCATCGGCCTGACCAGTGATGGAGCTGTGTGGAGCAGCGTCTAACCTGGCTCTTACTTTGAGGTGCTGGTACTGAAATATGGGGCGTCCACCCGAATAGAGGGTAATAAACTCAAACATGGCGTTTTATCTGTCGTAATGAACTGCTTCTTTTGTTTTTCCATATTTGGTCGATTTTTTTGCAATCAAAATTTGTCCTGTGCAAAGGTTTCAGCATATTTAATGACTTGCCTTTGATTTTTATTTCCCCTCAATATAAACAGAAATTGTGCAAAAGTTTCAGGCACCTGGAAAAATTACAATGAAAAAGATGACCTGGACAGTAATCACTTACTGGCTCATAAAAACAATAATATTAGAATAAATACAACTAATATTAATACAATAAGGAGTGACTATGTATGTCAGTACGTTTATCTAAACCTCTCTTTGTGGCAGTTCAATATTATTTGTAGTTTTTTTTCCATTTTGGTTTAAACTACACTGCCAGCTTCAGTTGAGGGCAGTCGTAGCTCAGGCTATAAAAAGAACGTACCTTGGCCTCTTCCACTGCTCTGGGGGGGATGAAAATCTGGGGGAAGGCGTACATGGCCCCCTGGACAGGATTGCACTTGATTCCAGGCACGGCGCTGAGGATCTGCTCCGTTAGCTTAGCTTTATCTGCCAGGGCACCCAGCACTGAGGCCTTCTCCTGAGAGATCACACATACAGCACAATCAGCCCACAGAGAGAGAGAGAGAGAGAGAGAGACAGACGAACTGTTCAAACATTTCATTTAACGGATGAAGCACAGCACTGCCGGGCGAGCGAACTCCGCCGGTTAGGGACGCCTGCTGCCTTCAAGATCTACATTTTCTCTCCGCTGTTTTTCAGTTATGTGCTTTGAAAGGTTTCGTTATCATAAAGCATCTACGTCCTAATCGTCTGGGATAAATAAGGGATTATTTATCTTCAACATTCAGCTCCATGATCATCACAGCGTCTTCTTTCGTGTGAAAAGCAGGTTTTAAATAATTATGACAGTTTTTTTCCCAAACTACCATTAAAAGCACATACAGAAACGTTTTTTGGCCCAAAGGTGGTTTAAACATCTGAAAATTTTAGTCCTGGTAAAATGAGTGGCCCTTGGCTTTATTCAGAAAATAGCAATGTCTCTAATATATGCTCATGATAATTTTATTTCTCTAAATAAACCCGTTTAGTCTTTCATTTATTTTATCATGGGGACATTTGGTCCCCCAAAAAAGGGCACAACTAAACATTTTTCTACATTCCTTGACCGTACAGGGTAATTACAGCCCTGCAGTGTTCGAAACAAATCCTCTCAAGCAGCAGCTCATCGCCTCTTAGATCATCCAGCATTCACGCCCTGAAACTGACCTTGTGGAACTGAGCGAACGAGGGCTCGTCCGGCTGCGGAGGATTCACAACCACGTCCATGGCAGCCTGGCCTGCCACCGGGGGGCACAGTCTGACCGACAGCAGCTTCACCAGCTGGGCCTTAACCTCCGGATCCAGGTTTACGATCTCCATAAAGCCGCCTCTGAAGCCACACCTGAGGAGAAGAGCTTAGAGTTGGTCGTCGTTTGCAGGACACAGAAACGTGAGCTTTTATTCTTGAAGGACTTCAGTAGGAGAAACGTGTCTGAGCACAGACTGAAGGAATGGTTTAATGGAGACTTTGCCTCCAGTTCTGCACTAAAGCTACAGAGCTAATATGCCACAATATTAAATAAGGGAAAAAAAAGACGACCGTTTTGTTATCTGTTATCGTCTTGTAGCTCCAGTGCAAAACTAGAGAAGCGAACCTCAGACACCAAACATGTCGTGGCCAGTCAGGTACATTTGGGGTAAAGGGGGAGGGGAATAAACATTCAGTAATTTGCATGTAAATAAGTGTGTCGTGAATTTAAAACTACAAGTCTGTTCAAGCCCGTTCCTTTAAATAAAGTCTAATGACCTATTTAGGATGGTAAGATGAAATATCAGCTATTTTAAGGCAGACAAAAGGGTGTGTTGATAGGGAAAAAAAAATCTGACAGCCAATTGACTGGTTATATGAATATTTTTACATCTAATAATAATAATAATAATAATAATAATAATAATATGAATTTTTCCTTGCTCTAATTTGCTCTTACTCTCTGTGAGCAAATTAAACCTTAAATTTATCAAACATTACTGGACTTATCCACTGAGACTGTAACCATTTCCTCCAAGCTCAAGAGCCAAAGAAAATGGTTCTATATAGAACCATTAACACTCAAAGAACCCTTTTTGGTGCTATATAGAACCATCTACATCCACCAATCTGAAGAACCATTTAACAATGCAAAGAACCCTTTAATCATGAATGGGCTCAGAGTGTTCATGGTTCTATACAGAATGGTTTCTTTACTAAAGAACCCTTGAAGAACCATCTTTTTAAGTGTGTATTTTGGGAACTCTCTGCCTTCTTATGTCAATATTACATTGAACCAAACCAGTAAAAGGCTCTGAGGGCTGCAGACGGCTGGTGATGGATGGAGCTCAGCACACTTTAATGACGCCTTTAGCAGCAGCTCTTTGCCCCTTTTATTAATAGTGAAGATTAAATTAAATGTATGTTCTGAGGCTGAATGTCTCTGCTGAGGCGGACCCTTGGGGTGTCTTGTGTTCTGATCAGGAACGGCGCAGTAGGTGGACCAAGGCCATGTTATTCCAGTTCGTCAGCATTTTTCACAGGAATGTCGCTTGACCTCTTCTCGCCTGCACATGTGAACTTGATCTGGGCCAAATGTTTCAGCAGCGCCCAGCGAGCCGGCTTTCACAGGAACACCGCTTCCTTTTAGACGTCTAAATACAGAGAACGTCCAGGACCAGCTAGGTCTGAGCTGGTTTTGTATAACTACTTCAGTTTAAACAGTAAAACCCCAGCCTGCACTTAACTATAGTCAAGCTATTCAGGTAATGTTCTAAATAATTATGGAGAATTAATACTACTTTGAAATATTTAGTATCTGCAATTAATTATTCAGTATCTACTATAAATAATTCAGTACATACTATAAATCCGTAGCTACTGTGAATTATTTAGGATCTACTATGATGTCCTCAGTATCTGCTATGAATTATTCAGTATTTCAGAATTTGATATTTATGAATAATTCAGAAATCGCTATGAACTGTTCATGTCCGATGAATTATTTAGTAACTACTTCAAATCATTCAGTATTTCAGAATTATTCAGTATTTTTCAATTTATAGTATCTACAAATTATTCCATACCTGCTATGAAACTGGTTTGTGGGTTATGCAGCTCTGAGTGTGAGGAATTCTACTGTGAGCTTTCAGAATCGTAGGGCTGGTAAATGTACCGATTGTGGCTGTTATGTCATCTAAATGTGAGCAGAGCGAGGCGTCAGTGAAAGCCGAGTCCTGGGGTGACATGAGGTGAAACTTTAGAGCTACGCTGACTCAGACAGTCATACTTACTCTCCCGTGTAACCTTTGGAAGTGGAGTGGAACGAGGCCAGTTCCACGCTGTTGAAGTACTCCGGGCCCCATCTCATACAGAACCTTCTTAAAGGAGTGGAACTCACAGTCTGGGGCATAGACGTTCTCCTGATACACCTGCAGGTTGTGGGAACATAAGGATTAATGCACACATAATAGAACTTATGTAAAATATTCAGATTTAAATAATTAAAAAAGTAAAATTGTACTAATGGGGTAAAACTTGACTATTTAAAATGAGCCAAAATGTCCACAAACGACATGCAAATTTTTCTCTGGACATTAAATAAGAGAAAAGTCAGAGACGACCGTTTATTTAATTTATTTAATTAATTTCCTGTCAAAATGGCCATTCAGTACAAGTTATTCTTTTTTTGCGTCAGGGAAAAAGGAGAAAATAAATTTTAAATAAAATTTAAATGCTGTTTATCTGAATGGGGGCAGTTTTGGGGTCGACCAGCTCTTCCAGGTGGTTGTTAGGAGCCACGTTTTACTCTATAGACTTTAATCAGATACAGAAACTCCTGTTTTTCACTTATTTTCCTTTGACTTTCTCCTCCTTTATTCAAGTGGATTATCTTCTATCTAATCTCCTCAGAAATGAATAACTTCTTAATGTCAATTTTGACTGGAAATTAAATAAATGAACGGTGGTCTCTGTCTTTTGCACAGTACTGAATGCTGTATGTTACTCTTACAAATGGTTGAGACTAAAGGTTATGCAATCAGCTGGAGACAAGTGAGCTGCCTGCTGTCAGATGCTTTAGAGAGGCTTTTTCAGCCTTAGACAAACAACATTTATCTCCGAGTCTCAGGCTTAAAAGGTTTACAGCTGAGTGTGAGGAAGCAAAAAGGCTCCTGGTGAATAGTTACTCAACAGCGAACATGCGTTCTGGTCATCTACTGTGGCCCTATGAGAAATGGCAATTACCTCATCCGCCATGACAAACAGGTTCTCCTCATAGGCGAAATGCAGGACTTCTTCAATACACTTCTTGCTCTGCACTTGACCTATCGAGCAAAAAGCAGGAGAGAGGAGAGACGGTCGCAATCAGACGTAATTCATACTGAACCTTCACCCTTCACAGCTTAGAAAAGACATAACTTATAAATATTAGCACCCCACCCCACCCCCACTCCAGGTGATCATGGACGGCCCTGATGTGAGAAGACTTTTCTTTTTTTCCTCCAAATAAGAGTGACGAGCAACATTTTATTGGCTATTATATTCTTTTTTTCCAGACATTAGAAAATCATAGACTGCCTTCTTGTTTTCATTGACTTGTGATTTCAGTGTCTGCAAATTCACAGGGTTACAGGTTACCTAGATGAACTCTGTGTGAAAATAACCTCCGCTGGAATTCTTTTATCGCACCACTACACCTTCCCCATTAAAGCTTTTCCACCAAGCAAATTTTATGTATGTTCAGTTTAATACGGCTTTAATATTGTCTACTGTATTTTCAAAACTAGCTTCCCCTGCACTGCTTACATTGTAAAATTAATGCTGAAACACTTCTGCTAGTACTAGCTTTGGTGGCTTAACAACAGAGGTGCCAATTCGGAGTCTCAAATCTAAATCTAGTTGTTTTTTTTCTTCCCTGGTGGACAGACTGACCACAGCAAAGTATATATATATATATATATATATATATAGGCCAACCCCTGATAAACAACATAACATTATAAACATGGCACCCTCACAGGATGCCACCTCTACCACAGGTCAGTTTGTGAAATGTCTGTCCTGCTAGTTCGGCCCCTGACCACTGTAAGTGCTATTATTGTCAAATGGAAGAGTTTAGGAGCAACAACAGCTCAGCCATGAAGCGACAGACACTGCCGCCACTGGACTCCGACGTATTCTGTGGAGTGATGAATCAGCTTCTCTATCGGTCAGTCTGATGGACGAGTCTGGGTTTGGCGAATGCCAGGAGAACGTTACCTGCCTGACTGCACTGTGCCAGCTGTAAAGTTTGGTGGAGGAGGGATGATGATATGGGGCTGTTTTTCAGGGGTTGGTCTAGAACCCTTAGTTCCAGTGAAGGGAATCTTAATGCTTCAGCACCAAGACATTTTGGACAGTTGCACACTTCCAACTTTGTGGGGGAAGTTTTGGGGAAGAACCTTTCCTGTTCGAGCATGACTGAGACCCAGTGCACAAAGCAGCTCTATAAAGGCCTGACTGGGTGAGTTTGGTGTGGAAGACCACCACAACAACCAGTCATTAAAAGCACCTGAGTTTTCCTACCTGTGGGGTTTCCAGGGTTGATGATGCAGAGAACTTTGGGCTGGCAGTGCTGTTTGGCAGCCTGATATGCTCTGTGCAGCTCGTGCACGTCTAAGGCCCAGCAGTTGTCCTCGTCGAGGTAGTAGTTGATCTGCACAGCGTCCATCTCTGCGATGGCTGCGGAGTAGAGCGGATACTGAGGGATGGGGATCATCACGCCGGTGCGGGCGCGACCTTCACCCGACACCAGGAGCCGCAGGATACTCTGGGAAACAAACACAGATCAACATGTTTACAGTAAGGTTTCTAAAACAACACTTGTGTCCTGTTTACACCTGGCATTACCGTGCGTCATGGGTAATCTGATCATAAACTCCTAGTAGGGCTGAACAATTAGAGGAAAGCAGTTATTTTGTATGAATTAAGCTGAGGGTTGTTTTTTGCCAAAATCACCAGCATATCCATTTTTCTTCAGGCTCAAGGCTGGTTTGCTAAACGTAGCGTGACAGGATGGCAGGTAAGAAGCTCTGCATTATTACGTTAAATTCTCCACTTAACTTAAGGCAACAGTGAGTAATAATACATATAATTATAATGGCAGATTTGAATAGTGCACTCTTATTAACCAACAGAGGCATCAGAGCAGAGACAAAACATCTCGTTAATATTTTTCCTAACCGATACTGTGAATGTGATTTAAACGCAATTAACTTTAAATTAAGTTCTGGCCATTTTTCCCCTTCCAAGACCACCGGCTCATGGTGACCCACATGACTGGGTTGCTAAATGTAGTGTGCCAGACTGCCGTTTTATGAGCCCAGCAGTATTAGCTGAACAAGGCTTTAGACTTGGACAAAATGGACAAAAGGATGGACAAAATTCAGGCTTCAAGGCGGCTCCTACTGTTTTTGACTACGCTAGTCCCTGTTTATAGACCACAGTGTGTCATACAGTGTCAGAATCAAGTCTATTAGAGATACTGAACAACTCCACATGGTTTGAGACACGTGTGGCAGGCAGTTAGCACTATGCTAAATGGTGGGATATAAGCCAGCATCACTTGTAAGCCTGGCAGCTCCAAAACTGCTTGAATCAGTTCATTAAACCTTTTGTGCCCAGATTTTTCCCTGTGCTTGCATACATGGTACTGTAGCTCCAACCAGTCACTTATCTGAACAGATTCAACATTCATATCCTCTAAACGTATAAAAGCTGCTTTGTACGTCTACATTTTTACATGAAAATCTAAAATATTACATTCGTATGAAACAGTTAAGAGCTTCAGTTGAAAGCGCTCCAAGTCACATTTGTGTCCCTTCCCTGTAACGTACCACAATCCCATCACTGGCACCGGTGGTGAGGAAGATGTTCTCCCAGTTGGACGGCACTCCCTGGTCTCTCTGCTCGATGTACGCAGCGATGTCCTGCCGGATGCAGTCCACCCCCTGGCTGGCACTGTATGACCCTGAGAGAAAAGGATCCGTCAGCGAGCAAGAGCAGAAAAAGCACTTACTGCTGCAGAACTCCTGCGGCTCTGAGCAGAGATAAAGCTGCAGTTCTATTGTTCGTCCACTTCCTGAGTGTGATCCGTGTCATTATTCAGAAGTAGCCCGATTATCTCACTCCACTGCAACTATAGAGTGGACGAAACGCCAGTGACTCGTGCTGGATGTTAAAGGATGGAGTCTATCGGGCCGAAATGCTAAACTTTATTTGGACCTTTTAACAGAGGAAAAACAGCCACATCAAAAAAAGGATGGTGCAAAACTCAAAGGCCACCCTTTCATTTCTTTTCCAGCCATTAAGTACAAATAATCTTAAAAGACGAAAGCTTTAAGTGCTGTTTACGTTATTGGGATAGTGCCGGTGGTCTACCAGGTCTTTGGTGGTCTACGTCCTCCTTGTTTATGCAGGGTTAATTATCTAGTCTACTCACAAATCTCCCGGAATATGAATGCCTTGTGCTATTTGGTCATTTTGACTGGAAATCAATTAATCACAGAGTGGTGTCTGACTTTTGCACAGCTGTATATCATTTTTACACCATTTAAAAACGTGAGCTCCCCTTTTTGAACAGGTCAGCGATAATCGCCCACAACTACTTTGGATTTTTTTCTGCTGTAAAGTTTCCTGTTTTGAGATGTGAGGCTTCGTTACGACAGCAACAAAAAAATCCATAGCTATCAAAAATATCACACACCCAGGCTCCGCCCCCCGCAACCCTGCAGGATACGCCGTGCTCTCCGCTTAGCGTCCTCTGGGAAGCTGGGGCTGTCCAGGAGCTCAGGGAAGGTGCAGAGAGCAACCACCTGCAGACAGAACACAGGTACGGGTTACGCCTCCAGTACTGAATTATTTGTTATGTTGTTATGAATTGTCATTTTATTTACTATTTTATTTACAAAAACAACAACAACAACAACAACAAAAAAAGAGCTTTTCGATTTGATTTGATTTAATCCAAAACATCAACAAAAATGACATTCAAGGTCAAAACTCTCAAAAGTTCTATAAATAAATAAATAAACAAACAAACAAACAAACAGCTTTGGGTGTCTGGTTCCTATCACCTCTGTAAACAATTCCGAGTAAGTCTCTGGAGTTTACATTCAACTTTTATTATTTCTGTTATTCTGAACACAGACTTGACTCTCAGTTTGATCCACAGAGCTACAAGGTCTTTAAACGTGAGGCTCGAAGGGCTCCACAGGCTCTGCTCACGCTTTAGAGCACACGTGTGTTTCATGTGATGAGAACTCATTTGGCTGAAACTTTACACTCCACCACACTCCACCACTTCACATCAACACTTAACAGGACCGGACTTCACAGTTTGGCGGGAGGGAGGGAGCACATGTGTGTGTGTGTGTCTCAGGAGCATGTTGACCAACATCTTAACTGTTTTGACAGCCAAACATGCCTGTTCAGACTTTCCAGCCCTCAGTGGCCAAGTAGGCAAAAGGTCACATTCATGGGGCTCAACTTAAGTTCGAAGAAGTTACACTGGACCCCAGTTGTGAATAATAAAACGTTTCCCAGCACACGACAGAAAATACGCTGAACTATAGCTTTTCCAACACATCATGACATCATACATCGTAGTTCAATTCAGAACAAAACAAAGCAGAAAAAACAAGTCTAACTTTGACTTCATGCTACATATTCCAGAATACTGTACCTCCAATCTGGCCTGTCAAAACTAAAAACAGTCGCTGCAGTTGTTAAGACTTTAGGGGGCGCCGGTGAGTACTGTTTGTTAATTTGAGCTCGAGCTGTCTATCCTCAGCTGGGAGCTAGTAAGGTTTAACAGCTGGGAAGTGAGACAGCTTATCAGTCAGAGTGGTGACTTTAGGCTTGTGCTGTAATTTTGCACCATAATTTTGCAAAAAGACAATTAACTGCTAACTGCAATTATTTACACAGCAATTGTCAACTAAAATTTTACAAAATTAAAGTTCCAAATGCCGTTTTCAATCCAAAACAGATGTACGAGCTACATTTCTGTGATAAACGTACTGAAATCAACATTAAACGCTGAACTAAACTGCGAAACTGAAAAGGCTGAACTGAAACGTCAGCACAGCCCCTCAAACCGAGAGAAACGTGGCTCTGCAGTGCTGCGAACACTCCACACATATGTTCTCCATTCTGATCATAAGGTTTATGGAAATCTTGTTCCTGTCTGATGTATTTATTTCCACATCATCTGCTGCAGATTCAGAGGCTCAGTTCATCCAGCAGTCTTTTGTTCTGTTCACTGAAAGGCTAGATTAACTGTATGGCAACGCTGACCACACAAACCTAATAACAATGGGTCATCTTCCACAGGAATGTACACTGTCCTCTGGACAAAACAAAGGCCACTTCATTTTGGCACTCATCACTGAAACTAGGACGAAACATGCTGTGTTATCTTTTAGGTATAAAAAGAATTAAATCTATTACAATCACCCCCAGCTTTACATTCTGTTATTTATGTTTTGCATACAAAGTTAACAAAATGATAAAACTGGCTGGGTTGATTTTTAAAAGCTGCTTCAGGAACAAGAGTTGCTATTAATTAATGGTAAAATATTAAATCAGTAATCTATTTTTTTTCTTGGGTCAATGTTTCCACATGATCTGGCTTTTCTGTGTGATAAAGAGTTTAAGTGACAGTTGAAATGACCCTGTTTGGCCGAGATACTAAACTCCTGTTTTTCTCCAAAGCTGCACATGATGAGTAAAACAGGACTGTCAGGTCACAACGTGACAACAAGCCACATCCAAACGGCCTGCAAGGGGAAACTGAGCTCTGGGGTCAAAAGGAAATATGCTCCTCGCTCTCGGTGCCAAAATATGAGCCCGGTGTTCCAACAGATGCAGTCGCTCTGGGACACTGAGCACTAGGGGTGGGCGATACGGCCAAAATATCACATCACGATACTTCAAGACATTTTCACAATAAACGATATGCTTCACAATATTTCGTTGATTTAAGTTGAAACAGACAAAATAGAGCCTGTAGTACCAAATATAATAATACAACTACTACTACTAATAACAACAATAATGAAAATAAATAATTCTACAGCTATAATGCTTTTTATTCAGTGTTTTATTTAGTGTGCTGCACTAAATCCAATTAAACAGGCCTGATTATCCTCAATAATTGTAATAAAACATGTAAACAGTGCTGTTTAAGTACTGACGACATCCCAGACATGCTCAGAGAAGCATATTGGGACATAATTTATCGCTATAATGATAAAATATCATCAATATTGCCCACCTCAACTGTCACAGTGTAACATATTGTATGTTAATCGGTATTGCGATATTAACCTTTGCTATACTGACATCACAATCCAATATGCAAATGAACCCTCTAAGCAAACTTAGTAAAACAGCAGTGTGAGCATCCTGACCAATCACAGCTCCACACGAGTGTCTGTGGGTGCTTTAATGAATTTAAGGTATTCATGCATGGTCAAAATAACACTAATGCTAATCTTCATGGTGTTACTGGTTCAACACTGAAGCTCCTATGAGCTTCTCCTCTACAGGAAACACAAAACATATTGCACAATTTATTCATTTGTAGAGTTTAACACGTCACTTTTGTACAAACCACAGCGTTTTATTATTCGTTTATCCCCCTTGATGTGTTAAATTCAGCATATGAACATTTATTCAGCATCAACAATGTCCTACGATCTACAACATAAACACAAACACCCCTCACCTGTCTGAGGAACGTGATAGGCTGCTGTCCCATGGCGTGGGCATCCCCGATGTTGGCTTTGATGACCTCGGTGAAGGGCTTTTTACCCCCCTATTAGAACAGAGAGAGAAGCGTCATCAACAAACATGCAACAAGAACTGTTCTCCTACAGTACTGATCCCCAACAGTGTGAATATTCAAGTTTGTACAGAAACACCGAGCTTAGAGAAGTTCAGGCGAAGCACAGACTGCACACAAATGACAGGCTCCACTGAAATTATACACTTCATGCAAAGCACAAAGTGACAGAACGCAGTCAGAAATGCTTATTTATGAAACTTTATAGCAACACAGTTACAAACTAGACACCATAATTATGGCATAACACGCCATAAACACCTTATACCAGAGTATAATAGAGCCGTGCATGATAAACGACCCAGAACATTACATTATAGAAAAAACGTTTACATCATATTTGGAGTTTCTTTCATGTTTGACCTCCTTAATGGAAAAATATATACCTTAAAGTTCTAGATCAGCCCATCTACAATGAAACTGCAAGCACTGTAAAAAATAAATAAATAAATAAATAAATAATTAGGCTGTCCAATTTTTGTGTTCATTACGCATTTAGCACAAATTCAGGGCAAACAGGTTTTTAGAGGTGGACGTCTGGTTCCCATCACCACCACTGTGAACAGTTGTGACTCAGTAAGTCTCTCTAGAACAGAAGCTCTCACACCAAACCACAGATAAATACTGGTGTCCTCTCAGAAACGAGCTCCCAGTAAAAGGTGTGGTGCACACGGACAGCAGGCATGTTAATTTGTGGAAAATGGGCTAAAAACAGCCCTGTAGTATCACACTTGCTTATCAGACCAGCTTAACAGATTTAATCTGATGATCCATCAGCGTCTGAGATGGATGGAACAAATCTAACCAAGATACGCCCAGTAGAGTCTACAGCGCGCAGCCAGTATCTGCGCTGGACAGATCAGGGCTGGTCCTGTCGACACCACATCTGCTCTCATCTTTAAAATGTTTTTCATTACTGCTCTCCTCAAATGACTCCCGCCGTTCGCATCATGCCACGTAATCCTAAACAGAGCGGTAAACAGAGCGGTACGTCATGTCAAGAGTGTTTTCTCTTTCACTGAAAGCTCACAGCAGAGGTTACACACTGGAAGCACTGATAGACTTATTTCTGTTGCTTCTGCCGAAAGAAGAATCGATTTCCTCTTTTGTTTTTGTAAAAACCAGACAACAGAAGTCAAACCGCCCCCCCACTTTCTGAAATGCACTACAATCTGTCAGAGCAGTGATGCGCAGAGGAGGTTAGGGTGGCATACAAGCAAAATTATTCCTTTGTTTCTGCACTACGCTTATTTGGTTAAAGCTGCACTTCGTACGTTTTTTCGTTAAAATTGAAAGTTGAAAGAATAAAAACAGGTTTAAATATGGTGAATGTGTGCTGCTGTGAGTCGCCCTGTAAAGAGGAGTCGGGAGTTTTTCACACCACGTCGTACGTCTTTAAGTATTAACGTCACACAGAGACTCAAAAAGAAGCTCCGGCTCGATGTTTAAGATCTCAAATGATCTCAAAATCAATATCGTACTGATGAAGATGTGATATAATAGTAGATAATTCACATCCTCAGAGACGCTCCTTCACCAAGATTGGACTGAGTTCTCTTTGAATTCTCTTTCAATCATCAGATTCATCCACTCAGGGAAGGGGACCGAAGCACAACCCACGCTACGAAATATTCTTCCACGTGTGTGTAATTACACATTTCCACCAGAGAGGTCTCCAAATCCCTAAATCTTACATAGAGCAGCTTTAAACTTCGGCTAACTCTTTTCTCACCATCACAAAACCTAAAATATTAACAACGCAGAAGCACTTCAGGAACTGAGGGGAGCATTTGGTACATGTTTGATGTGGAGTTTGCAGCAAAAGCTCTGTTTTGTCCTCCGTTGACTTTCATGTGGCGCTCAAAGCACTAATCTCCGTGCTGCTGTGTGCGAAGCGCTTTGCGAGCGGCGGCGATGTGAGGCAGGAGCAGAGTGGCTACTGTGCTGTATGAAGCCGCTGTTACCATTGTGGTGTTGCGGTGATCGTTGCAGCTCTACTTAGGAAAGAGCAATATAAAAAAGTTATTGTTATCGTCTTAAATCACACCACAACACTCTTTCTAGGTAAATGTTATGTATGAATTACAAAACAGGCTGATTTAGACCAGCTATAAAGACTGAATGATCATGGTACTCAGTTTTTCAGCTGGTAGATTTTGCCATTTTCAACTTGTTTGCAAAGCCCAGAAAAATGAAATATTGTGATAAGCTGTGAATCATGAAAACTCCAAATATTGTGACATTATATATTTGCTGTTTAATAAATTGCGCTGCTTAAAAACCCAGTTTGCAGAGAGAAATGAAACTCAGATACTCTCAGCATCAGTAGCTGCTTCATTGGCTTGTTTTGATACTGTTGCTGAATGTAGGTCAGTTTATAAGCAATCTCTTTCCTCGGTTCCTGTCCAGTCTGCCCGCCAGCAGCCAGCTCAGCCTTTCTGAAGCGCAGCTAAGTGGCAGTGGACTTGAACACGAGAAGAAAAGGATGAGCTGTCCATTGTGAGGGGCAGCGGCTCAAAGGCAAAATTATCTCCAACATGCGTCACTGAGAGGCCTGGTACGACGGTTTATTAGTGCCTGGAAGCTCTTTATACCAGCTTCAGGCAATTTGGCTCTGGTTTGGTAGCACAGCAAACCTGCCGTGACACGCAATTATATTTATAAGAACAGTATGTGAAACATGTTTGTTAGGGATCAATCATTACGTTTTATAGCTGATTCTGATTTATTTACAGCTAAACTGGCTGATTTTTTACCAGCTTTTAGCTCAAATACATGACAGCACGTTTCCAGGACTTTCTTTTAGCCAAAGTTGCAATATAAATAAATGCATTTGCCCTTTAATGAGCCCAAACACGCATAATTATAATGATGCATAATTACATCGTTTTGATGAAGGTGTAGCAGCACTCAATTAAAGCGCGAGTACATTAGCCTGCCTCGCCTTATTACACCATAAAACTGCAACACGGATCAAAAAGATCTAAATGCCCAGCCCAGGCACCCACTCTCACAGGCGGAACCAAGAGAACCCATTCAGGTGTGCACAGTAAAAACCCAGGTGAGACTGATTAAAGCAGATGGCACTGGGAAAACTGCAGCAAATCTGTTCATCATGAAAGAGAAGAGACAAACAGAAAGACGAGTACAGCCTGTCAGGTTCACCACAACTAAAAGGGACAATTTAATTGCACTGTATAAAACAGTGAATTACATTAATCCTGTTTAACTGGGATTTACTGCACTGCGGGGTGTAAAACGTTAAACAGAAATCAGCGCATTAACAGTTTTTGACTTTTTTTTTATAAATGTGGCATATATGGCTTTTTACGCATTCCAGTTTCTAAAATTTATGAAAAAAATTAATAGCAAAAAAATGTGATTCACAACACCGAACAGAGCTTCAGCAATGTGGAAGCACTAAATTAAACTTAAATCAATTCAGACCTGGGGGGGGGTGGGGGTGGGGGTGGGGGGGTTCTGTTAGCTCTGTTTGATATGGAGAGATCAGAGACGTTCCTATTGGACAGTTCTAACTTTTGGATCAGACGTCTGAAGGGTTTAACGCCTCTACAGCAGTCTCTCTATCCTGGTCCTGAACAGCTACTTTCCTGCAGAGTTCAGCTCCAACCTGTATCCAGTAAACTGTCCTGCCCATTACTTAACTCTTGTACATCTGATTCAGCCAATCAGGGACTTGGAAGAGGTTGATTAGCTGGAGCAGGTGTGGCAAACTGTGGCTGGAACTAAGCTCTGCAGGACCAGCGTTGGACACCACTGCTCTAAAAGCTCCGTCACAGAAGGTTGTAACATAAAACACTTAATAAACTGCTGCCTGATGTCTGAGACACTGGTTTACAGCAGTTTTGTGATGATGGTTCTGGGTTTTGGCCTAAAACGTATTTTAATCAATTTATCTTGATCAATTCATGAAGGAAGAATACAATACGGGCATTCTAAGGAATGAAAGTCTCCGAGGAAAACTTTTTTTTCCAGATTTTTCACGATCAACATTCATATAAACTCAGAACACACGTGTGGGTTCACAGGTGAGTTTGTTTGGTACGTAAAGCGGCTATATTTGTGGCGCAGTGAATTTCCCCACTGTGGGACTAATAAAGGTTCCTATCACCACCACTGTAAAGAAAGCAGAGGCTCCACAATGAATCCCAAAACCACTCTGAATGATGCGGTTTACACCTCAATCAATGGATTATCTAGCCATTTTAAAAAGTAGGTGGAATTCCCCTTTAATTGCCTACTGAACGTGGGTAATTATCAGCTGATTATTGATGACACCCATGAAACCGTAGGTCGTTAATATCGCCCAATATTATCGGCCAGCTGATATATCGGCCAGGCTGTTAAACTAAGAAAAAGTAAAAAATGATTCTGTGATTTAACTTAAAAAAGAAAGTTAACCTGTTTGTCCTGAATTTGTTTTAAATAAGTAATGAACACAAACATTTGGCTCCCAGTGACACCGCAACCATTGAATGATGCAGAATTTTTGGAATATGGGTGGCGTTCCCCTTTCAGTCCCGCTAAATAAACTCCGCTTTAGATCTAGATCTGCTGCTGCTCCTCTACCGTACCTCCTGTAAGATCCTCTCGATCTCCCCGGCTTTGATGACGATGGGTCCCCTGACCGCGTACTCCACCGCCTTCACCTGCGGGTTCAGGGTCTCCATGGTCAGCGTCTTCTCCCGGGCCTTTCCGTTCCCCACTGCGGCGACCGCTGCTGCCGGAGCTCCGGACGCGTTGTAGCGCTTCAGCCCGGCCGGAGAGAGCCTCAGCGCGGCGCGGTTCGGCCGCCTGCCGGGCCCAGGAGCGGCTAAAGCCGGGCACGGATCTAACGCTCCGGCCATCAGGGAGCGGGCAGCGATGGACTGGAGCCTGAGCATCTCCGAGCAGAGGGTGGATCAGGGAGAGGAGGCCGGAAACAGAGAGGTGAAGCTCTAACTGACCCCGCGCTTCGAATCGCGCCGCAGCGATGAGACACAGAAGAGCAGCAAGGGAGGAAACGATAAACGCCCGTCAGCTGAACCTCAGCTTCAGCCGCCAATGCACAGCGCAGACACACACACGCCCACCGGCCTCCCCTCTTTCATCAGCCCGTACCTGCCCCACGCTTCCCGCCTTCCCACTGGGTAATGTAGTCTTTACGGTAAAGCGAGCCACGTCTGCGCTACGGGGTGCTGCCGATGTTAGGACTACGTTACCCAGAAAGCACTGCGTTGCGCTTTCTCGCGTCACCGCCAGAAAGAGTTTCATCAGCTGAAGAGTTTGAAGATGAAGTTGTGAAGATGGGCGGCGTCCCAAACCGCAGACTGCAGAAACAGGACAGCGCCAGTGGGGCTCCGCTCCTCAGCGGTGTGTGCGGTGAGGTACTGTGTCACTACTGGGCGATAAGCAGTGAACAGCGCTGTGCAGGTCTGTTCTATACCGAGCCCGGCTGATGACAACCCGTATGAAGAGAAACAGCGCGTGGCCACGCAGTATTAACGCGTGTGAAAGAGATCGTAAAGCGTGGTTCTTAATTTCTGTAATTATTATTTTAATTAATTATTAAAGTTTTTACTTTATAACCTTGCAGTTCAATTTGTCATTACAACATCTATCTGTTTCTCTGTCTATCTGTCTGGTTATCTATCTGTCTCTCTGCCTGTCTGTCTGTCTATCTGTCTATCGATCTGTCTGTCTGTCTATCGATCTGTCTGTCTGTCTACCTATCTGTCTGTCTCTCTTTCTGTCTGTCTATCTATCTATTAATCTGTCTATCTAATCTATCTGTCTCTGTCTATCTGTCTGTCTATCTATCTGTCTGTCTATATATCTGTCAGTCTATCTGTTTGTCTATCTATCGATCTGTCTATCTGTTTCTGTCTATCTATGTATCTGTCTATCTATCTGTCTCTATCTATCTATCTGTCTGTCTGTCTATCGATCTATCTATCGATCTGTATATCTGTCTTTCTATCTACCTGTCTGTCTATCTGTCTTTCTATCTACCTGTCTATCTATCTATCTGTCTGTCTGTCTATCGATCTGTCTATCGATCTGTCTGTCTGTGGCTATCTGTCTGTCTGTCTGTCTGTCTGTCTATCTGTCTGTCTAACAATAATGCAAATCAAACTCGTTATTTATTTGTATTTTTAAAATGTTTAAGAAAGTCTTTATTCTGAAAGATGTTTCTTTAAAACCCACCACTAAAATCAGAACTTTACTGAGCACTTTTCATCAGATAAGGTCAAAGTTCATTACAGATATGTGAGAAAATATAATAACAGTAACGATAAAACACTGAAAAAAACGTGTTAGTTGTGGGCGATGGCAAAAATATCACAAAACTTCAAGACATTTTAATGATACACAACATGTAGTTTTTCTGAAAATTAATAAGTTGGAACGGACAAGTTGAGCCCGTAGTGGCACATATAAAAATAAGCTAATAATAAAGAATAAAATAACTTGCAGCTACAGTGATTTCTATTCACTGTTTTACAAACTGCACTAAATCCAGTTAAACAGGCTTAATTATACTAATTATTATAATTTTGTACTGAAAGCTGTAGTTGGTCTTTGTTCTTTAAGTACTGACCGTATCCTCGATCTGCTCAGAACAGCGTATTGTGACATAATTTAATACGATCACAATAAAATATCATCGTATTGATGTACAGTCTATAATGTACAGCCTGTATACAGTTAATTAGAGGAGGATACTGTAGAGTAAATATATAAGAATTAGAGCAAAAGATGGAGCTCAATTATATTATAACCAGTGTTTATTCTAGAATCTTACTTACCTGCTTTATTACCCCACTTATCGGACTGTTACCTCACTGATCCCTTTCTCTGCCACTATACACCCTTTAACTGCTGCTGCACTCAGCACTGTAACTTTAGACCCATACTTTGAACAATGTAAGGTTTACAGGTATGACTGTGTGTGTGTGTGTGTGTGTTTGAGTGAGTGATGGTAGGAATGCATGTTTTATTTTATTTTATTGTATTTTGTTATATTTTATATTTATTTTATTTTATTCACTACATGTAAATGTCTGTCTGGTACTGCGCACTGTGAGCTCCTGTAACCAAAACCAAATTCCTTGTATGCGTAAGCAAACCTGGCCAATGAAGCCTGATTCTGAGTCTGATTCTGATATAAAAATAAAGGAGAGTAGAACTATTGTTATGAATGTGTGGCCTAAAAGCAGCTCCTGAAAACCAAAACAAACTGATAAATCCTAAAAGTGAGAGATGTAAACGACAGCACAGCAGGACAGGAGCTGAACCAGCACAACATGAGGAAGTAAAGGTGAAGGACTGAACTGGACCTGAGGAAAAAGCTCATTTCTCTTTCTAATGAATGTAAAGACTGAAGTACAAATCCAGAAAAACACGCAGCTCATATTATATAATACAGCCAGCAGAATGGCTGATCATACAGCCTGTATGGTACAACATTAATACACATGCTGTGCTAAGAATAAATATAAATGGGTAAATAGATTAATGTCAGCAGTGTTCACTCAGCAGTTTTTATAGGGCTGTTACAGAAACACATGCAATGCTGCCACCTGCTGGACAGATGGCCTTACAGCCTCAGTGACCTGATTTTTGATTGCATTAAAGGAGAAAACAATGCTCTGAACTCGGGAGCTGATTTTCATGAATTATTCAGTTTTATTCAGTTTATGTTGCTGAGAAGGTCCATGTTTTCTAAAATTATTCCAGGTTGGGAACATACGGAGTATATGGAGTAAATACGGAATCTGCAATTTCCCTTCGGGATCAATAAAGCTCTGTCTGTCTATCTGTCTGTCTGTCCATCTGTCTATCTATCTATCTAGTAAAGAATGCACAGCTGTGCTGTCTATCAGATAAAAAAAAAAACATAAAATATATTTGGAGATTAACATGTTTGAACTCACAACCTATTGATTGATTGATTGATTGAATATATTGATCCATTTACATTGCTGTAAGACTGTTGTGGATAGTTTTGAATTTGTTGAAGGTTTTTTGAAGCATTTCATTCAGCATTTCTGAACTTGCTGTCACAATGTGCTTTCCTGAAACACACTGAGAGGCTGATGATGCACACAGGAAGAAAAGCATCCAGCAGACTGAAGAAGAGACGAGCAGGAGGGTTTTTTTATTTCTATTTTTGGCTAAATGATGTTCTGATGGCAGATTTGTGGGAGAGGAAACAGCCGCAGCGTCCACAGACCTGCACATCCTCCCAGAGCTCATCCTCAGGACCTGCACAGCAGCAGCAGCGTCTGTAGAATGACGCTCTGAAAGCAGCTGTGAGACGGAGCTTTACAGCCTTACACGGTTACAGAACTAACGACTGTCTACTGATTAACTAACGACGTGTGTGTACTTGTATTTCTAAAATGTTGGAATTTACTGCCTCATGAACCAGGCAGAGGAGTGAGACGTGTGCTGGTTTGTCTCTCTGATACATTTCTAAGCTTTTAATACTCGTCTGTTCTTCATAATCAGGGAAAGGCCTCAGTCTTTATTCTGAAAGATGGTTCTTTAAAACCCACCAATAAAATCAGAACCTTTACTGAGAGAGCACTTTCCATCAGTATCACGCTTAAAAACACGGTTCTTTAAGGGCTCATTAGTCAACAAAATGGTTCTGTATAAAAGCATGATTAAAGGGTTCTATGCATCATGAAAGTGGTTCCTCAGATTGATGGAGAATGTGCTGTAGATGGTTCTATAAAGAACCTTTTTAAAAAGGGTTCTATGGAGCACCAAAAACGGTTCTTCTATGGTTACAAGTTGACTTTATAGCAATGACGGAACCCTTTTCAAAAATGTTCTTTACACAACCGTCTACAGCTCGTTCTCCAATACTGAAATGTTTAAAAAGGTGTGTTTTCAAATGTCGTTCAGAGGCCGCAGCTCGCCTGAACACATAGTGGAACTGGGTTCTATAACGGTACTACTGGCAAAGAAAGGAGTTTTTTGTTTAATATATACTCGTACGCAAAAGTCAATGATATGTGATGTTCTTGTTGATGTTCTAAGTGAAAATGAGTGCAGAGAACACATCTCTGCACATTTTAATGCACAGTTATTTAACATATTGGGGAAAAAATAAAACATAAAACAAAATAAAACGAATATCCTTTTTATCTGTACTGATGTTATGATTCTCTGAGTGTATGATGGGCTTCATCTGTACATCTGGAGCACTAAGAACTGCACCGATGATGATAAAGACAAATTTAGACCAGTTATAGAGAGTCTGTGAACAACAACAACCAGTATATATATGAACATAATCTGCATAGTAACAAGCAGCTGATTGGCTGGCAGCCCAATTATGATATCATCTTCAATTATTTTTATCAGAGCTTCCCTCTTTTTCTTAAATAGTTTATTTTTGTGAGCACTGAATTTAAAACTCATGTAGTGCTCTTTAAGTATAATTAATGATGTTGTATTCTCAGCATATCATACAAGTATATATATATATATATATATATATATATATATATATATATATATATATATATATGTATATATATGTATAATTTGTAAAATATTTTAATAAAAGCTGCATTTTTGGATTTTTGGGTGTATATTTCCTCATGGCAAGCAGCCAGATGTCCACACAACCTCAAAATATACATGTTTTCAACATCCTGGGTCTTAATCAGCAGCCTAATCTGATTGTTATTGTTATTATTAATAGTCCGGATTCGTGTTTTACTGAGCAGATTGGCTCAATAATACCGAGCATTGTTTGAACAAAGACTGTAAAGCATTCATTTCTTTTATATTCTATTTATTTTTCCTTATTGTTCCTCCACCACGTGATGCAGCGGTGCCGCAGTGCGCATGCTCGGCGCGGGTCACACAGAGGAAGTAGCGATGGACATTCCGGCTCTTTTCAGTGAGTCGGATCAATCGGCTCTGCTCACATAGAGTCGACTCTTTCGGCTCCCAAACGGCTCTTCATTCACTGGCTCTGTTTTTTTGTTCCTAAAATTATCGTTGTGATGTTTAATTTATCTTATAATAAATCTTAATTCATCATCAAACAGCCTAATTAACGCAAACTGTGTTATGTTTGTTGTTGTTTTTTTTAAACAAAGTCAGGTTAAAGTCTGAAGTCTAAACTGGAGAAGCTGGTTTGGAGGCAGCAGTGTTGGCATTCTGTGAGTTTTGACTGCTAAAGGCTCTCATAACTCAGAGGATCCAGGAAACTTGGGGGAAACGTACTGAGGACAAAATCCGTCGGCTTTGGAAAATGTCTGTTCACCGCAGGGTGCGACTCAGAGAGGAAACCAGGAGTTTCTAATTTGGGCAAGACTGTCTTTAGAGGCCTACAGTTACAGCCACAGCCTATAAGATCCTTATTATCCACAGAACGATTTCATCAGAAAAGGAGACCTGGGGTTAATCAGAAAGAGTAAAAATGGAAATGGCTGAACTTCCAATAATCTATCAGTCTTCCCTTTTCTGACCCAGAGCAAAAGAAGGGCTCTTTAAAATCATTACTGATATTTCTCCCTGCTACGGAGCCCCGCTGGTGACATCCTGTATAAATAAAAATAATGCGTGGCCACGACTTAGTGAGCCGTGATCTCATTTCCATGCTTTACTAAGTCGCGGCCACGACTTAATCATCTCATTCCCACCCCTTACTAAGTCGTTGCCACTCATTATTTTTATTTATACAGGATGTCACCAGCGGGGCTCCGTACCCTGCAATGAACTTTTAAGACACAAATTTAATGTGGATCATAATGATCGCCTTCACTGTGAGAATCATTATAACATCTATATTTCTCATGCAAACTATCTAAAAGGTTCTGTAAAGATCTAAACTGAAAATATGAATTGCCTGACTTGGAATAAAAATCAATAAAAATAAATATGTTTATGAAAAATACTAAGATTTTTTAATTAATAATATTACAATTCAGGATATTAGATATTATATACATAAATACAGTATCTCTAAAAGTGTGATGCCAAAATAAATTACCTTCTCATTCTTCAAAATCCATGTAAGATTGATTCATTAAAACAGGTGTGTTTTGAAATGTAATGCTTCATTTATTCATTCATTCATTCATTCATTCATTCACTCATTCACTCATTCATTCATTCATTCATTCATTCATTCACTCATTCATTCATTCACTCACTCATTTACTTCCCCTATTCTTGTTGTACCTCTTTGATAGTTGGCTGCCAACATTCACCTAAAAGAGCCGATTTAAAGAGCCGACTCGTTGACGAACGACTCGTGTGCTCAGTGCGCATGCGCAGAGGAGGAGAATGGAAAAGCGAATGGAGTTTTCAGTTCGGATGGACAGAGTGTGAGTGAGTGAGTGTGTGTGAGTGTGAGTGTGTGGAGCTGGTGTTAGTGCGGTGTATGAGTGTGTGTGAGAGAGAAGGAGAGAGAGAGAGTGTGTGTGTGTGATGAGCCTGTAGTTGGAGTAAAGCCTGCAACACACACACACGCGCACAGCGAGGGGAGCGCGAGCGGTTCTTCAGGACTGGACTTTTAATCATGTCTACAAATAAAGTCAAGAAAGTGAAAATGGCCACTAAATCGTGTCCGGAATGTGACCAACAGGTGAGACTGATATTATTATTATTATTAAAATAATTCACATGAATCGACACTGATATCAGCGGTAATGCGGGTCTGGGGGGTTCGGGGGGGGGGTCGAGCTGCTGAAGTTGAGCTGCTGTTTCCACAAAGCGAACAGACCGAACTTCAGGCTCTCCCAGCGGCTCCACCGCATCAGCCACACGGCGAGGCTGGAGTTCAGTCTGTTCACCAGCTTATTATTCGAATTCTCCCGTTCCACCTTAAACGGAGCGGCAGTTATTATAACGCCTCAGGCGCCAGCCTGTAACTGCTGCACCATTTAAGGTGGAACGGGGGAATTCGAATAGGAAGCCAACTTCAGCCTCGTAAGCACTCGTGATGTGATATGAATATGCGGTGTATCCGCGCTGTGTTAGGCCTGCATTTCATCTGTATTCAGTGTGTACTGCCTCTGCGTTAGAGCCACTCAGCAGCGGAGTCAGTCTGTCTGTCTGTCTGTCTGTCTGCCTGTCTGTGTGCTGCTGTATGATATTATAAGGCTTTACTATGACACATACGGGTCTTTGGAGCGTCTGCTCTTTGTTTGAGTCTAATTATAGCTGATGGAGAAAAAGTGCTGCTCTGAATTATAATTCAGACTCGTTTGAACTGAATGGCGACACTGCTCGGCTCCTTTCACAGCTCTGAGAGAAGCAACTGATATTTACATTAGAGCCGCGTCATCAGGAGCAGAATCAGCTCTTATACTATGTGCAGATGGCAGCATTGCTTAGTGTTAGTGTGTGTGTGTGTGTGTGTGTGTGTGTGTGTGTGTGTGTATGTATGTACGTGTATGTATATATATATATATATATATAATTTATGTATATAGCACTTTTCATGCCGGTGTCAGTTCAAAGTGCTTTACAGACAGGAGATCAAATATAGTTATACAAGAAATTATAAGTATTTATTTAGAATCAGAAGAAAATTACACAGATCAAATTAAGATAAAGAGCCGTAGATTTTGCTGAAGCGCTGAGTTAAAGAGCTGCGTTTACAGATGTTTATTAAAAGTGAGCTCTGAGCTCGACTGTCTAATAAAAGCTGAACTGAACTCCACAGTTTAGAAGCAGAAGTGAAAGAGTCTCTCCATGTTTTCTGTGTTTTTATATATATATATATATATATATATATATATATATATATATATATATATATATATATAAATAAAACACATAAATATAGACATGTATGTTTGTAAGTAGTGAAATATGTGCATGTAGTCACTGTCAGATCAAACTGTATCTTTGTCAGATTTAATTTTATTTATTATTATTATTACACATTATGAAAACATGCCAGAAAGCCTTTGAATTGATCAGTAGAAAAGGGTTCTTTCATTAGCGTCTGTTCAAAGTTAGAACGTTTTTCCTCCTTGCTTTCAGGACAAAGCCTTGCATCTCCAAAAAGGAGCCAAATTCATTTTTCCGAGTAATTTTAGAGCATTTCTGTTCCTCCGTTCGTCATGAAATGAAGCAGCTGGTACTTTCAAATTATTCTGACAAAATTAAACATCCAGCAGGGATATTTAAAGTCAATGGGCCTCATTTACCGATATCTTTGTCTTTTCCGTAAATGTGTCCTTAAGAAAAAGTCTACGTCAGACTTATGACGTGTTCTTAATGCGCAGAACTGTTCTCACAAGAACAAACCCCAGATAAGAGAACATTGGTGAACATCAGAGTCTTCGTAAAAACTGCGTAAGAAATTTCTTCTTAAGAACAGACGTTGGTGAATGAGGCCTGGTGTTGTAAAAGAACCTCGTACGCTGATAGTTTCCACAGTAGAAGTAAAAAACAGCGTCTACTGTAATAACATTTGAATCAAAGACTGTATAAAACATTGAAAAATGCCGAAACCATGGCGATACAAGGTTTGGTTCAGACTTCATCTGTGGGGAAATATAATGGCAGTGCGTATACCCATACAGCATTGCGTGTTCTAATCCTCGTTCTGTCTGTGTCTTTCTCTCCTCCTCAGATTCCCGTAGCCTGTAAGTCCTGCCCGTGTGGCTACGTCTTCATCAGCCGAAAGCTTCTCAATGCGAAGCTGAGCGAGAGGTCGCCCCCTGGTTTAGGTAAAGGCCTTAACTTCCCGTTTGACCGTGTCGGCTGCCTCCGTCTCAGACGTTTCTGTTTGTTTTTGCTTGTGTTTGGTTGAAGAATGTGGTTCTGCAGCTGAAACCGCAACATCGACTTTATATGTACAGCCTTTATTGTGAAATATCAGCCTGGGTGTAGCTGTACCCCTTATGTTCCTTCACAAACAGGAAGAAATACTGAATTAATTCTCGAAAAGCCTGCACTAAATTGGCAACATGAGGGCGAATAACAGCAGTCGCTTTCTGCCACCTCTGCTGCACTTAGTCTGTCCAAACAGCTCATTCTGGGAAGTTCACAACACTATAAGCTCAATTATCTCTCTAAAAGAAGGGACTCCTATCTGCACCACTGCCAGTGGGACTGAAATACAGTGTAAATAAATGTACACTGCATTAATTCATCTGACGCAACACTTTGCCTCCAGAACGAGAAGCTGTAATGCTGTTGCGGGAGGTGAATAGCGTTATGAGTGCTGAGTAAGTTTATTTACCCTTAATATTAGCCCCATTGGCTGCGTGTGCAGATAGAAATCCCTTATATAAACAGTAGAGTGCTGTTTAAACCTATGGAGGCGAATCAGACGCAACGTTATGCCGTCAGCAGGAATAAACTGGAGGAAGCTGAGCTGAGTGGCTCAGTAGTGCAATAGTGTCTGGCTAAAATTGCTGTTTGCTCGAGTGAGTAGAGTAGAGTGGAGTAGAGTTGAGTGGAGCGGGGGGGCCGGGGGGGGGGATGGGCTCACTAATTCCTGTCTGAAAAGCTTTACTCCCCCACCGCCCTCCCTCCTCCATATCAGATGTACCATTTAGTGCTCGTAAGCCTCATCAACCTCAGAATAAGTCACTCTTAAACGTGTTTATAGGAGCTTCTGCTCGTGATTCGGGCTTTATTCGGCACATTGTGCTGAATGTGAGTTTCAGACGTTTTTTCGGAGAAAGGTCACACTTTAAAGTGCAGCTTGGCGGAAAATTGAATATGAGTGTTATGTAAGCGATGAGAGAGCAGCTTGTTTTGTAATGAGCTTGTTTAACCTGGTGAGATTAGACCAGGGGGCATATGAGAGCACAGCACGTTCACCGGTCACTCAGAACTGTGTTGTGCTTTTGTGAGCTCAGTATACAGTATTTCTCTATTTGTTGTTGTTGTTGTTGTTTTTTTGTATCTATGCAGCTATTTCTCCTCAGCCGCCCCCCCCTTTTCAGGAATATGTAACCCACCAGTGGGAAAAGCATGTAAAGACTATGTATTTGCATTATTCTGTTTACTTTCGCGGCATATTTTTGGCATTGTGTCGCTTAACCGCTGGGTGTGCTGCATGGCTGGAAGCTATGAATGGAATGCTTAACACAGACTCTCTTTGTATGGCTGCGGCAAAGTCTAATAAACTGCATAGTGAATTCTAAACGTCTTATTTCATATATATAAAGTCTGAGAAATGCAGAGAAGAATATCTTCATCAATTAAAACCTTCACATGCAGTTAGAACAGCTCGGTCAACTTAAAGAGCTCATATCTTGCTTTTTTTCTTGGATTTGTTTTTTCGCCCCAGGGCTGTCTGTGTGGGTTCATTTACTAAAATCAGTCATGATTTATCTTAACATGACCATTTTCCAACCCCTAAAATCGAACAGGCAGTGTTTGTTACTATAGCTTTAAGACTGATGTATGTAAATGAGCTCTGTTCTGATTGGCCGCCTTGTTTTCTGCCTCATTCAGAATGCAGTTCAGGCTGAAACAAAACCCTCATTAATGCGCTGTAAATTGAGTAGGGGAACATATGTAAATGTATTGGTTTTGGTGACATCACAGAAACTGAATTCAAAACAGGCTGCGAGTTTCCATTTATGGACAGTGGGTTGAATAACTTCAGCGCCGTTTACACCCTACATTAAACTCTTTCCTCCAAAAAAAAGCACAGAAAGACGTGTTTCCTCATGATATGGGCTCTTTCCGTTTTGCAGAATGCAGAGAAATAATCTCATTAGCGTATGAAGGTACAGCTCACATCACTGTGATCTTTCATGGTGGCTGAAATCTGTTGTTCTTCTCCTCTAGAAGGAAATAACTGCTGAAAAAAGCCCTCGAAGAGGCCGAAAACAGCCTGGGCTATTTATTCACAAAGCTCAGAATAATGTTGCACAATTTTTAAATAGGTCAGCCTTTTATTTAGGCTGCTCTGTCCTTGCTCTGTTTCACATCCTGTTCAGATGAAATATTGATTTAGAGCCTGTTTGACTGAATTATTTAGGATATTTTATTCACAAAGTTCATGCATTGTTATTAGAAACATTAAACATAATTAGCTATTATCTCCGCCATGATAAAGCGGCTGATCAGAGAGTACTTAGTGTGTGTGAACGGATGTTTTATCTGTATTTTAGAGAAGTCAGACCTAAATGTTGACAGAACGCCTAACTGTGTGATTAGTGGAGTGAAATTAGTCAGCAGTGAAATCGTTTGCAGAACAGAGCCATTCTTGTCAGGGCAGGTTATTGACAGTAATGGATTCCTGAGCTAGTGCAGCCATACGTAGGCGCGGGGGGTTGGGGGGGGAGAGGGAGGGGGCGGGGGGAGAGGGAGGGGGCGGGGGGAATAACACCAAACTGTAATAAACCTCCAGCTTTTTCATCTATACAGTATCTACAGATTTAAAGGGCCCGTACGCTACATTACCCTGTATTTTCTGTTCTTCTCTCTGAGGTCCTTTTCTGACATTTGTGCACCAAAAACAGTTCTGGCTCATTTCTACATGACTCCTCTTTCATCCCTTAGAAGTGTCATTACAGTGGCCCTAAGACTGATATATGCAAATGAGCTCCACTGTAACTCTTTCAAAAGCAGTTTAGGCTGAAATACTTAACTTTAATGTAAATGGGTTGGGCTGAACTGCTGTAAGCCAAGTAGGTGGATATGTCTGAATGCATTGTATTTTGTGACGTCACAAAAACAGAATTCAATCCTATAAAGTAACGTTTAAAACATTAATAAAATTAAACACAGAGAAGTGTGATTGGCAGTAATTGTTGTGGCGACAGTAAAATAGGGAGTACTGATTTAAAAAAAAAAAAAAGAAATATGCAAATATATATCATGGTATTTTTAAACATTAGTAACAGTAACATTATACACATTTTAATAGAAACGGGATTTACAGAAAAACCTGTTTCGAATTAGTTTGAAATTGTTAAATAAACATTAAGACTTTAAGAAAATATGTTTACTTATCCTCGAATAAGAAAAACAGTTCAATTAAATATATTCATTTGCGTTTTAAGGTGGTTGCTTTGTAAGGTTGTGATATAAATTTCACAGTAATGTAAGTTTAATTGATTTGTGAAATTTTACAGTTGAAGTCCCTCCTTCATTAGTGGCTGTGAAGCGGTGGTCTCACTCTCTGTCTGCGGTGACTGCGGTGTCTGCTGTCGACAGGCTCTGGCTCTGTAGTGCATTCTCCAGCGTTCTCGCTCATTTTACACCTACCGCCCCCCTGAGAGCCGGACACAGGGTTGCCAGGTCCTTCGCTGTCTGGTGTTCGCTCTGAGCATGAAGGGCTCTATAAATAACCCTCCTCAGAGCAGCTCAGGTCTCATGCGCTAATGAGCATCTCAACACTAATTAGAGCGGCCTTTAAAAAGTGATGCCTGCCATTTCTCTCTCTGTCTGTCTCTCTGTCTCTCTCTCTTTTGTGTTGTAGATGTGGGGAGGGTGTTGGGGGTAATGTGAGAACAGGCGAGGAGGGCGATTGTTTGGGTTGTAAGGTTGAAAGGTCATGTTGTGTCTGTATGTTTGTGTTTTAATTAGCCTTAATTTAATTTTTTTACTTTTAATTATTTATCTTTTGGGAGTGAAGCCATAAAAGAACCACTTCTGGTTCCCTAAAGAACATTGCAGAGGATGGGTCTTTCAAGAACGCTATTTTGTAAATGAGATATCAGAGTGTGAACAAAGTGTAAAGAACCTCAGTGTGGTGTAAAGGTTCTACACTAATCAAGGTTGTTTCCTAGAACTAGACATTTTCTAGTTCTTTAAAAAACCCTTTAATGAATCGTCCTTTGGAGAATTATTTTTGTCCTTTTAAAGAACCCTCACATGCTATAAAGGTTCTTCACTGATTAAGGTTCTTTTCCTCTAACTGGGCAACGTGCAGTGGACGCTTCTTCAGCACCACTTTTGTAAATTATATATGAACTTTCTGAAATTTTGAAGGATCTTAATGAAATGTAAAGGATCTTCACCAATCGAGTTTTTCCTAGAAATGTACGTTCTTTAAAAATAAAGGTTCCAAAATGGGTTCTTTCAAAAGGTGCCACAGAGGAATCAGTTTCTCTGTTTTGATAGATTCTTTAAGGAACAGTTTGTTTTGTAAATGAAATGTGTTTGAGGTTTAAAGAACATTCAGGTTATCTAAATCTTGAACACCAGTTAAAGTGAACGCTCTTAAAAATAAAAGCCACAGAGGAACCACTTCATCTTCCCTAAAGACCTTTTTAATGGCTGTGTAAAGAACCTCTCTTTAATCGGTAAAGGTTTATACCAATTAGTTTTTTTTTCCTAGAAGCCAAAAAACGTTTGGGTACTTTTATTTTATGCAGGCTTTTATTATGTATAGTATGCGCCTTTCATTGAGATTTCTCTGTGATCTTCCTTTAGATAAACTGGATGCGAAAAGAAGACGGACAGAAAGAATAAGAAAGGAGAAGATCAACTTAACGTCCACCAGTGATATGGAAAACAGGAGGCGGTCCCGAACCAACAGCCAATCGGATCCGATCCGGAGAGGGCGGGGCAGACCAAAGACTGTTGGTCTGAAGAAGCAGGAAGAGGAGAAAGGTAAATACCTCGAAAAGCAGTGGATTGTGTTCTGTTACACAGCGATGGGTGAAAGTCAGAGACCACACGAGTATTTTTTAATTTCCAGTCAAAATAGTCATTAAAAACATTTTTCAGCATCAGAAAAAAAGCAGAAAGCAAATATTTTAAAGAACATTAACTAAACTAAATATAATATCATAGTGTTCAGTGTTCAGTGAGTCACTCTTCCTCTTCATTCCAGCCTCTATTCCTTTCAGGAGACTCACTTTCAGTGACTCAAGTTCAGTCTTAGAAGCTGGTTGATCATTTCCTGAAGTAATCAAACACATTCAGTGGTGTTGAGGTCAGGACTCTGGGGTGGTCAGTCCATCGTTCAGCTTCTTTGTTTGATGTGTCCGTCTCCTTTTCTCAGTGAAGTTCTTCTTGAACAGCTACACATCCTTTCAGACCCACAGCGCTGAGTCGTCTTCTCACAGTGGAAGGATGGACAGAAACACGTGTGGATGTTTTCAGATCTGAAGCAGCTTGATTTTCTCCTCTCTCTCAGAGATGAAAGCTTTAAGTGCTGTTTATCTGATGGGGGGCAGTTTTGGTGACTACCAGCTCTTCTGGGTGGTTGTTAGGAGCAGAGATGGGTGGTGTGGTAAAACTGTAATCACGATACATTATGAAGTTGTCATGATGTGTTACTGTATATATGTTTTCTATATATGTTGGAAAATACAAAGTAGTGCCACTATAAACTATAAATACAGCAATTTATATCACCATTTCACACACTGCACTGAATTCAGCTAAACAGGACTAATAATGCTCTCTTTGTTGTCTAACATGCAGTTGGGAAGTGTCTTTTAATGTAGACAGTACTGCTGATATCCACAGTATGCTCAAAAAAGTATTTTTGGACATATTTTGATGTAATTTATCATCATAATGATGATAAATATTTCCATATTGCCCTATTAGAAACTCCTTCTCCTTCCTGCTGCCAGTGGTTGGTTTCATATCTACTTTCCTCAGAAACATTTACTGAAAATGAACAGCTTGTATTGATCGGCTGTTTTGAGTGGAAATTAATCAAATAAAGCACGGTCTCTGACTTTTGCTCAGCGCTGCATGAGGTTGTTTAGCTATGCAGAATGACCTCATATTATAGGAAATATGCTTTTCAGTCATTCTTCCCTTTACCTTTTGATTTAAACTGAATGATTAGCAATTTCATTACTCTCTGTCCCTCAAGCAGAGCTGCTCATGCACTCATTCATACACGCTGTGATTCATCTCGCTGGGTTTGACGGTTTCATTATGGTTCTCTTTGTAGCTGATTCAATACCCTGAACGTTTTCTGGCTGTAGTGAGTGTCGTTTCTGTTTTTCTCTCTTTTTCTTCAGCACCTACCAACACTGCAGTCATTCTCTCCTCTTTGAGTCATCCAAGCAGAACTGGTCATTTTCCACGTCTCAGTTTTAAAATGATTCTCAGCTCAGCTGTCAGTGAGCCTGCTCAGGGGAGCGGCTGAGGAACGTTCTAGATGCTAAACATCCAAACAGGCTTCATAATTGGCTTTTCACTGAATCTTTGCTACGTGCATCTTTAGACAAGCGAATCGAGCAACGTGTGTATCGTGTTCTGTGTTGGATCAGCCTAAATCGAGCTGGGCTGTGTGATGATATTTATTGTCATCTTGATAAATGACATCACCGTATGTCACATTAAGCTGTTCTGAGCTTATTGTGGATATCAGCAGTACTTCAAATCACTTTCAACTGCATATTTGATTAAAAAGAGAGCATAATTAGTCCTGTTTAGTTGGATTTAGTGCAGCACAGTGTGTGTAATGTTCAGTACGAGTCACTGGATTTATTGCTGTTGATAGTATTTTTAAAATGTGGCACTACTTTCGTCTGTTCTAATTTACCAGATATCGGAAAATCGGTCTTCCTGAAGTTTTATGATATTATATTTTGCCGTATCACTCACCTCTGAGCATAAAACATTAGATGGCTTCATCTCCGTCTGAGCAGAGAGACAGTAGGAAACTGTTTCAGCGTTTTTCAGTCAGGCTGCATTTGTGTTGTAGATGATTGATTACGCTTCACTCACGGCCGAGGAAAGCATAGCTGCTTTGGAAGTTCCTGTATAGACGAAGTGTTTTCGTTATCATGATAAATTACTTCACAAGAAGCTTTTCTGAGCACGTTATTAGTGTCAATAATTCCATGACAATCATCTGCATGTTTCATTAAAAAGTAGGGCCGTTAAAATTAGCAACAAACCATGTCAGTCTAAAAAAATGTATTGTGGCTCTTTTATTGTTATTCTTCTTATTATTATTAATTATAAATATATTTAAAATGTATTTTATACATTTGTGTATTTTATTTTATTTTAAAGTATAATTACTGTTTGCTGAGCTGAATGTGTTGGGGGGTCATAATGTAGTGGGGGGGGGCATAAAATATTCATTATGTTTCATAGCAATTGTGCACTAAAGTTTTCAGATAATGCAACTGTCTTCTTTGTTTAGGATGTAGTAACTTATTTTTACTTAGAAAATAAACAGAACATTTAATGGGGTTGTTCAAACTTGTGCATATGACTAAAAATTGGAGCTGTAGTGATTCACAAAATTTATTCAGGTTATATATTTTTCGCTGCTGCAAAATAAGGAGTGGCTGATTTTGTTTTTGTTTTTTTTCCAATTTCAGTTTATGAGAACAGTCAGTCTTATAAAAATACATTTTTTTTTTTGTAAAAAACTTTGCACAGCAGCAGTTTCTGTTCAGCCAAACCACAGAGATAGTATCTATTTTTCTAGGCTGATCAGAGCAAAGATAATGTTACTGAAACATGGTAAGGGGTCTGTTTTGTGGGCAGTGAAGTTGATTTAATTTTTGGATGTTTCACCACGAAATAAAATAAACCTCTACAAATTACATGGCAAGTGGCAATCATCGGGGTCCAAGCACTGGACGCCATTGTGGAGCCGGGAAGAAACAAATGATTGGTACAGTTTTTAAAATGGCCTCTATTTATAATAGATGTAGGGTCTCAAAGAGAGAGACCCCTGCCAGATTTCTTACACATTGACCTTTTGGTAAGCAACAAAAAAATGTCAAAATACCTTGAAAAATGTACAGTTTTTTGGACACGACTTCAACATGAACTCGAACCAAATAATTCCACAGCAATTACAGAATGCATGAATTGTCTCAGAATGCATGAACATGTGGTTCTGAAATAATGAATTGTACTAGTTTGTTTGACAGTATTTTTAAATGTAGCACAACTGACGTATCTTTCCACTTATTAAAGCTTGTGATGCTACATTTTGCCACATTGTCCACCCCTACCATCAGCTCCTCTGATGTAAAGGAAAGGTTTCTCTACCGCCTTAGTTGAAATCAGATAGAGCAGCGGGTGTCAAACTCAGTTCCTGGTGGTTTAATCATGGCAGACCGTAGCTCTGCAGAGAGACACTCTGAATTTAGTGAAGGCTTTGCTCATTAGTTTGAGTTGAATCAGGTCTGTTTATTGAGGCCGAACGCTAAACTCTGTGGAATCTGACACGTGTGGTCTGCAGGGAGCTTTTGAATGCATTGCATTGCCATTTGTCATTGTTTTGTGTGGCTTTGAAATGTGCTTTTAGTCTTCCTTCCACTTTTAGTGATCTGTTCCTGTGGCATTGTGCTCTCTCTTTTAGAAAAACAGGAAAAGGAGGTCGACATTTATGCCAACCTGTCAGACGAGAAGGCTTTTGTTTTCTCCGTGGCCTTGGCTGAGATCAACCGCAAGATCCTGGGCCAGAGACTCATCCTGTAGGGGGGAGGGGCTAAAGTGAATGATTGACGGGCAGAAATCAGGACTCCTGCATGGACCTATAGGTGACCTTTGTGCCAGAGAGAGGAAGGGGAGGGGCTCTGGGACCCAGGAGGGCTTTGGACTGTCAGCGGGACGCTGTCGGGCAGGCAGGTGTTTGGAGTCACGTGGAGGCGCCTGGTCTGCATATTTGGAGGAGGGAGAACTGACTGTATTCTGAAAAATACGATTCTGAACATGGACAGTTTTAGGAATCTTATCTATTTATCATTAAAATCAGATTTTATGGAATGTGTTAAAGGATAGGTGTCTCTTTTTGTTGTTCTTTGGATCCTTTTGAAGGGGAATTCCTCTGATGGTTTCTGCATAATGTAGAATGTCTGCATAATAAGGTGTGGTTCGGTGTGAAATGTGGTGGCGATGGGAACCAGGAGTCGCCATGACAACACAAATATAGACATTTTATTTAGTCATAGTGTTGATAATGGCAAAATAATGGTAAATCCAAAAAAAGGGGTGTGTGCTTCACTGCCTCCTGGATGTAACTGTTCACGTTTTAAAAAGTACATTTTAGGTCAAGACTTTCTCAAAACTATCCTAAAACAGTGTCTCAGTCATCAGGCAGTGAATTCATAACCTCTTCATTTAGTAACTTTCTGTGTGGGAGCTTTTAGAGGTGGACGTCTGGTTCCTATCACCACCACTGTGAACAGTTCTGACTCATTAAGTTTCTCTAGAACTAGAACATTTTTCACACCAAACCACTCTGAACGACTCATCCAAGCCATTTAAGTGTTCAGAAATTTTTAAAAATCTGCGGAATTCCCCTTCAGCTGCATTTTGTCATGAGTGGCAGGTTCCTGTTCACCCAAGAACGTTTATTTCAGTGAGGTTTTCTGAAACAGCAAAGTGGTTACAGGTGTGAACAAAACTCCTTATAAGTATTAGAGCTTGACCGATACATTGGTTGGCTGATAATATCGGCTCATTGTTTTAGCAGTATCGGCAAAAACGTTGCAGATAGCACGTCATTAATTACTGACTTTTTTGGTCATGACATCACCAGCATTCAAACTCTTGATCTCCTGATGATATTCAGACTTTAGTATGAAAACCATGTTATAACATACACAGCCTTTTCCTTACGAGGAGATCAAAACAGCCTAAAATACGGTGATCGTGCCCTGCAGGAGATTTTACACATCATATGTCTTTATTTATTAGCATCACACACACAGACTCAAAACGAAGGATGTTTAGGTCTCAAATAATCTCAAAATCAACATCACACTGATGAAGATGAGATGCTCATAGTAGATAATTCACTCACATCCTCAGAGACGCTCCCTCAACAAGTTTACACTGAGTTCTCTCTGATTCTCTTTCAGTCATCAGATTCATCCTCTCAGGGAAGGGGTTGTTCTGCATGTTGCATGTAATTACCCATTTCCACCAGAGAGGCCTCCAAATCCCCAAAAACATACATAGTGTAGCTTTAAATGAGCTATTTATTTGAGATTAAGAAGACAGTCAATAATCAGTCAGCAAAGCACTCTTTTGCTAAAACTATTCGAGTATAACATATAAATATAAATTATCTGGGCCGATATTATTGATTATTTGATTTGTAGTCTCTTAAAATTGGCATTGGCCTCAAATTTATTGGTCAAGCCCTAACAAATATACCGAGTTTGACCCTGAAGTGCTCCAAAATCATTAAAATAAGCGTTTAGGGTGGGACTAGCAGCAGGTTCAAATGTGAAAGATCAAGATTACCTTCAGAAGTACTGAGTCTGCAGATTAAGGTTTTCCCAGTCATTGTCCTAAACGTTCAGGGCCTGTTTTCCTGGTCTTGGATTAGTAGCATTACTGATGGTGGTCCATCACTGAAAAGCCTAAGTAGCTTAATCTGCGTCCAGGAAACCGACCCTCAGACTGTTTGTTGGGAGGAGGAGTTCACCAAAAAGGGTCGTTTTTTTTGTATAAAGCTGTGGCCCAGCTGATCAGATGGTCGGTACTGTATCTGCCGCTTCAAGCTCACTGTAAGCTGATCTACGTTGTTTATTTTGAAGTGCCAGTGAGCCATTCTGTTTCAGGAGCGCTGCTTATCAAAGGGGGGGCTCTGAAACTAATGCCTGCTTAGTGCTTATTTATTACCTCTCCCACCATAATTTAAGTGCATATTTTGTTATTTTTCTCCATTTTTTTTTTCCACAATTTTTGTTTCACAAATGGTAAAAGCATACATGTGTAATAATCACTCTGTTCAGTATTATATTATTAAACGTCCTCTGCAAGTTTAGCTCATGTGTTTCAGAGGAACCTTAATTACAGCTGTCCTTCATCTGTCTATTCTAAGGTGCTTAAAAGAAGACATTTAAGGCAGAACAGTGTCCTCTCGCTTCAGTTATTACTGGCCCTAAAGCTTCTCTGTGAAAGCTCTACTTCCCTCTCTGACTCAGTCTCATTCAAACGTCACTTCTCAGTTAAAGCCCAGTGGAACATTATGACTCGAAGCTGTTCAGCTGAATGTGTTGCTTATGACTTAGAATAGTAATTTCATAGTGGGTTGCAGAGCTGAGTCTGCTGAGCTTTTCCTGTTCTGTTTTTTTATTAGCTTTGGAAATTGATTTATTACATTATTGTGTTTTTAAATGAAAAATAAGGTGATATAACAGAGGTGGACGTGTGACGTTTCACATTTCGGCCACTAAAAATGCTAAATCCATGGGCCGAGTGGTCACCTTGGAGATTTTTTTTGCGTTCTTTCCCCATTTTAAGGGACGTGTTCGGTCAGACGTCAGACTATGTCGGAATTTATTACGTGTGACCGCTGTGAAAGTGAGCGTGGTGCTGTTAAAGGGCCAATATCCTACATTTTTCTTGTATGTTATTTCTTGTATGAGGTCCATTTCTGATGTTTATGCACCAAAAACAAATTTAAACACACTGTTTTTGTTACTTTGCTTTAAGACTGATATATGTAAATGATCTCTGTTTTGATTGGCTGCTCTGTGTTATCTTACCCAAGAAGCAGTCCAGGCCGAACTTCAAAGTGAATGGGTGGGGCTAAACTGCCATTGGCAAAATAGATAGATATGTAAATGCACTGGTCTTAGTGACATCACAAAAACCGTTCACTCAACAGGATGTTTTTGCAGCTTATTTTTCAGATATGGGCTGTGTGGGCTGCAGAGTGAACAGCACATTTTGAAACTTTGTTTGAAAACCTTTATCAAACTCTTGTTTCAGGAAGGTGAGGAGGTTGTTTTTCCACAGTGCCGGCCCTTTAAATGAGCTGCTGCTACGCAGAGAGAATTTCACTGCAGTGGCTAAACAGCGTCTAATGAAATAACCCAGATCAGATGACATCAGGACTGGAGAGGACCACCACAGTCACCACAACATGCTCTTATTATGGAAAGATTTTACTGATTTTCCTACACCAAGCCCCACCTCACTGTTTTTTAGAACCAAAGCTTTCTCACTCATTGCAAAAACAAGGTATATATGATAAACGTTTCCATTTTTATGGCCACAAATTCTAGATTTTGGCCACAAGATTAATTGGCTTAGTGGCTGGTGCAGATTTTTAAATGCCTCTCAGCTCCTGATGTAGGTTGTAGACCTCCATACGCTTTGGCAAAGGAATCATCATAAGGCTCACAATGTGGGAAAATGAATTTTCCTTATTTTTATTATTATTTTTCTTAATAAAAGAGTTTGATGGTATATAAATACTGTTAAAGTGTCAAAATGCACCGTTCACTCCTCTGTACAGTTCCTCTATAAGGAAACTAAGCAGCAAAAACAGCCTGTTTTGAATTCACTGTTTTTGTGATGTCATTTAAGCCATCTCATTTACATATATACATATATCCACCTGTACAGCGGTTCAGCCCCACCCATTCATGCTCAAGTTATAAGGAGTGTTTCAGCCTAAACTGCTTTTTGACTGAAGTGCAATACAGGGCAGCCAATCAGAACTGAACTCATTTACATATACCAGTCTTAAAGGTACAGTAACAAAAACAGTCTGTTTAGTTCTCAGGGATAAACAGAGGTTTGGAAAATCATGTAGAAATGAATTATGACTGTTTTTGGTACATGAACCCACACAAATAAGTGGGGAAAAAATAAAATGCAACAGAAAATGTAGAATATGGCCCATTTAAAACACAAGCTGAGCTGCCTGATGGTGCAGCAGCACTGAATCAGTTCTCTGGAAATCAAAAATAGCAGTAATCATAGGCGTTTCTGTGAAATAACTGCAATCATAGCACATTTGTTCTGGAGCTGAGCTGTTTAAAAGCAGATCTGTAGCATGAATGTGAGTCAGACACCTGTTTGGATCGTGTCAGTTTCCCAGGAGACAGCTGTTCTTATTCCTCCGCCTGTATTGCCAAGCAACCAGCTCACCTCAGAGCAGCCAGCGCGGTTTGCGCAGAGCTGGATGGGTCTTTATCTGCGTGTTTATACCTTTTACATTAGTCATCCGCTTTATTCTCAGCAGCGGCCGTGACTCCTGAAAGGAGAGGAGAACAAACAAAGGCTCCACACCACTCCTCACTCTGCACTCCAAGGAAAAAAGGGGTTTACAAAGTGCTGGAATAATTCTTTGACTTTCAGCAATAGTGGAGCACAGTTTGGTGCTATGTAGAACCATTTCAGAAGGTTAGGACCATATATGGAGAAGAACCATTTAATTTAGATGATTTTTCAATTGGTCATGCTTCTATTTATAGCCATTGTCTTTGTTAAAGAACGCTGGGAGAACTAGAGTGTAGTTATAAGAACACTTTTCAAACAGCAGTTCTTCAAGGGTTCTTTAGTAAAGGCAATTGTTGCATACATACATATATGTATATATATATATGTGTGTGTGTGTGTGTGTGTGTGTGTGTGTATATATATATATATATAGATTTTTATATATATATATAAACACACAAACACACACACTGATTGAATGCATAAATGGTTCTTCTCTATGACAGAAAATATGTTGTATATGGTTCTTTAAGGAACCCTTGGATGTCCCTATATAGCATCCAAAGGGTTCCACTATTGTTAGCGGTCATAAAACCTTTTTGGTACTATATAGAACCGTATATGGAGAACACCTGAACACCTGTTTAAGCATTCAAAGTTGTTATGGTTCTGTTCATAGCCGTTGTCTATATTAAGGAACCCTTTTGTAAAAGAACTCCTTTTTTAGTGTGTAGATTTACATACACCTTTACTGTGACACCATAGAACCATTTGAATGCGTAAATGGATATTATTTGCATTGTATGATGGAGAACCTGTTGCGTATGGCTTGTTAAAGAACCTTTTTAAAATGGTGCTATACAGCACCAAAAAAGGGTTCCACTGTTATTACTGAACCTTTTTTTACCACTGTAAAATTTCTGTAAAGAACACTTTAAGCATTCAAACGGTTCTTGTTGTTGTGATTCTGTGTATAGCCATTGCCTTTGTTAAGGAACCCTGAAGAACTCCTTTTTTTTAGTTTGTAGATATAAATACACAAATGTGGTTCCTCAAGGGTTCTTTAGTAAAGGCAGTGGTTATATATATAGAACCATGACAACCCAAAGCACAATCTAAATGTTTCTTCTCTATTATGGATGACAAATAGTTGTACATAGTTCTGTAAAGAACCTTTTAAAATGGTTCTGAATAGTACCATAAAGGGTTCCAGTATTGTTACAAGACATAGAACCTTTCATACTATGTAGAATCATTTTAAAGGGTTCTTTACAGAACCATATACAACAGGTTTTCCATTATGGAAATTGAACATGGTAACAATAATCACAAGATAGATAGACCATGATAAACCATCATAACCTTTTTCTGAACTGCAAAGAAGCATCTAACCAGTACTGTGGTTCTTTGAGTTGTCATGGTTCTATATATAACCCTTTCTAAGTGTGATAATGCAGATATGTCTGTGGTTTGGTGCTCGGAGGTTCACCTCGGTCTCTGGCGCTGCTCTGTATCTGATTATCAGTCAGTCAGTCAGTCTGTATAAGGGCTTTATTTAAAGCCTGCAGCCCAATATTTATATTAACCTAAACATCTCACAGTCTGTCTGTTTTGCACTGTGTAAATGGCATTAAGTGCTGAGCGCAGTAGAAAATACACAGCAGGCAGCAGAGAACTGGTCTCTTTAAGCAGCTGCTTGACTTTCCCACTTACTGGGTGAGCGTTAGCGTCCTGAATTAGCTTTAGCCCAGTGCGGGGGGGCTCAGGGGGCTCGGGGGGGTGGGTATACTGATTTGCGTGGCCAGCAAGTATCAGGACAAGAATCTCTGGTTACAAAACACGTCGTAGCTTCAATTCAGCAATATCCATTCCAGAGTGACCCACAGACTTTAATCCAGATTGGATCTGAAGTTCGTCGTTATTTTTATGCTCCAAAGACTTAAAGTTGTTCCCCTTTACTGACAGCTTAAAGGGAATCATGGAAAACCGAATGGTTCTCACTTTTAAAAAAGAAAAATTGCTGTTGTTTATTAAACATTGTTAACATTTCAAATAAAAAACATAACATTAATTCCTCAGACTTTATGTACAAAATCTAAATCAAGCTGAAAAAAATCAAAATTTGTTTTTGTGATGTCACAAAAAGCAACTCACGTTCATATATCCTTTTCATCAGCAGTCCGCACTCTTAGATAAGACGGTTCTTCAAGGGTTCTTAGTAAAGAAAATGATTCTATATAGAACCATGAACACTCAAACAACCCTTTGCTTATGATTAAAGGCTTCTTTGCATCATAAAAGGGTTCTTTAAATTGATGGAGAGTGTGATGTAGATGGTTCTATATAGCACCAAAAAGGGTTCTGCTATTGTTATGATGTCAGGTTTGTCACAATACAAGAACCCTTTTTGTGCTATATAGAACCATTTAAAAAATTGAGGTAGAACTATCTACAGCACATTCTCCACCAATCTGAGGATCCCTTTCACAACGCAAAGAACCCTTTAATCATGCATTCTATATAGAACCATTTTCTTTACTAAAGAACCCTTGAAGAACCATCTTTTTAAGTCCTGCCCATTAATGTTGAAGTTTAAGTGTGAAGGATGAAGAGAGGCTGGAAAACGGTCATGTAAACTCTGATTATGACTGGAACATGTACAGATGTCATAAATGGAAATGTAAGGTTTGGCCCCTTTAAATAATAACTAAAATAACTCACTTCGCTTTAAAATAGCTTTATGTTTTAAAATTAATGCCTGTTCTGTTTGCACCTCTCCTGAAACACTGTGAGCTGCACTGCAATGTATGA